GAAACATCACATTAGCACTAAGGTCGTTCCTGATTCGAAATTACGCGCTATATCTGCCTGCGCGCTTGCGAACTACCACGCAAAAAACAAATAACATGATGTCGACAGTCGTCCCCGCGGCCCGCATGCGCATCCTAGCGCGCGGTGCATCTGCTGCGATCGGACAAGCGCCCGGCGCACGAATCCGCATCAAATTACACATCGCGGGCCACGCGCGCGCGCCGCCACGCGCGCGCGCCGAAATCCGCCCGAAAGCACAGGCTATGAAAGCATTAAAACAATGTGTTCCAGGAAACATAAGGAGCACACAATCTCCGACCTATAATCTTCTGAAATTTGCCGTTTCCTGTGCGCCCCGCACTCCCGCGCCATCGCGCGCATCGGCGCTGCCACATCACCGCGGCGTCGTCATCGCTGGTCGCCGCCGTTGCCGCCATCATCAGCGCGACCACCTTCTTCACAGACACATGGGCGTCAGCATCGGCACCGTCATTGGCTTTGCCATCGTCGCCGCCATCATCGCCACCATCATCATCATCATTGCCGCCGTTGGCGACGCCATCATGATACCGCGCCCGCCCGACTCATCCACGAGCCACCTACCCGCGCCAGCGCGGCTTTTGAAACGCGCTGACAAGCCGCCATCGGCAAGCGCCGTCGCGGCCGCATCCGCTGCGCTAAACCACCTGGCCGCTATGCGCGCAAGCGCGCCCACCCTAGCGTGGCCGCAGAGACGCGCTAGCAAGTGCCAATCGGCAACTGCAATCGCGACCGCATGGTATACCCGCGAGAGCATTGGAATTGACGGCGCGACTGCAAAGGAATCACCATAAAGATTGCACCCCGCCATCTGCATCACACAACTTACAATCCGCATATCCCACGACTTGTTTTCGCATCCCGAAAAAATCATAGTCCCCCTTCTTTCCCAAGGGTATCTAGCCTCCGCGTGACGTTACAAATTACATGTGATTGTGCCTCACCTTTCGCCTCGCATACAGACGAGCACCATCCCGAGCAAACCGTCATTCGTTGATTTCACAGGCAACAATCGCAATAACCCCTGACAGAACAACGCACGAAATCCAAACGCGCGCCCATGTGAAAATGAAACCGAACATAAAGAGTGATGCGCGCACTTCGACATTACATTGTAAATGGAGATGTCGGATATTCATCATCATGAAGATTGCAGATGCTATGCCCGCGCGCAACTGCTGAGCGCCATCGGAAGCCGCGCGAATCGGGCAATCTCGTCCACAAGCAGAACTCTCATTTCACCACGCGGTGCACCCGCGTGAATTCTGCACGCGCAAGCTGCGCGAATCCGTATCAGACGGTACTTTGCAGGCCATGCGCTCGCGCCGACACGCGCGCGCGGGCCGAAATCCGCCCGAGTTTCTTCTGCGCCATTCAAGGTGGAGCTCCAACTACACATGGGGGACATGATTTCCGCCAGAGTATATGCCAAGTGCAACGCACTTCTGCGCGCGCACGCCCCCGCCATCACCCGCGTCAGCGCCGCCGCATGGCCGCCGTCATCGACGTGCGCCATTGCCACCGCTATCAACTAACCAACCTCATCATCGACGCGTAGACATCACCATCGTCATCGTCGTCACCAGCGTGGGCGCCGTCATTGGCCTTTTTCCGTCGTAATCGTCACCATCACCATCAACGTCATCACTGGCGTCACAATGGCCGCTGCTGTCGGCACCATCATGGTACAGCGCCAGCCCGAGTCACCGACGCGCGCCGAAGTGCCCGCGCACCAGCGCGGCCTTTGAGACGCGCGGGGGCGTTGTCATCGGCGAGCGCAACGGCGGCCGCGTCGACTGCTTCAAACCAGGTCGCCGCGCTCTGCGCGCGAGCTCGCGCGCGTCAATGCAGCCACAGACCGCAGTCGCCGGCGCGCGTTCAGGACAAATTGCGGGCAGGTGGAAAGCGGGATTCATATCTCACGAGTTGGCAAACAGATTTTTTTATTGTCCAAGACGAAAAAAACTCCGCGTTGCTTGCGCCGCATAAATTCTCTCCTCTACAAAGAATCAGACTCACCCCCCTCCAGGGCTGGGTTTCACGGCCCCCCTTCCGAGCTTATCGCGCACATTTATTCAATCGCTTCGCTCATTCCGCCGGCCCTGGAGCGCTATTTGGGGCCTCTTGGGGCCGTTTTTTTTTTTTTTTTTTTTTTTTGCTTCGTGCTCGGGCATCTCCCAATTGTCAGCGCAGCGGTCCGCAAGAGTGCAGCGGGACGCCTCCGGCAGATCCCAAAGGAGACGTAGCAGCGGCAGCCTCCACGGGGAGGTCCTCTAAAAAGGACGGGGACTTCCTGGGCCTTTCTGCGCTTTGCCGGGGGGGAAAAGCCAACAAAACAAAAACATCTTTTTTATATGTAATATATATATATATATATGCATTCCTGGCTCCATCTACGGTCGCCCCACATCGCCCCATACGATGGCAGGATGGCACAATACATTATCTGATTGCCGTCGTCTAAGCATGGTGCCGCTCGTGTACACAACACATCTAGAGGCACGTGTCAAAATGACTGGCGCTGGGCCAGCGGCAGTGCCCCACTTCTGGGAGGCGCCTGCTGGGGAACACTCGGGAGCGGCTCATGCGGCCGGGGAAAACGAGGGAGACGGGGGGGGAGGGAAGAGCAGGAAGGGATTGGGCCCAAGATCGGCCTGGCCAGGATTCGTGCAGGTGCACAGCTGGCACCCTCCAACATTCAGCCCGCACCGTGCAGACTGCAGACGGTGCGGACAAGCCTCGATGCATGCGAGCAGAGTCGCGTCATGGTCACGCCAAGCAACTAGCTGTCCGTGCTGAGCACCGTGCAGGAAGGTCGAGTCGAGTTTACTCATCGCCTTTGCCTTTTCTGATGTGTTGTGTCCTGATTTGTGGCCGCCGCGATCGCCGCGGCCACCTCCCAAATCGACGCGGGGTAAGGAACAGCCAGCAACGGTCTCAAAAAAAACGGCAACGCAAGAATTCTCGTCCGTGCAGTCGCAGCATGTTAGCACCCGCAGAGACAGGCATGTGGGAGACGCCCCAACCACGCCGGCTGCCTGACGCTGTGGCCGGTCCACCCTGGGAGGTACAAACGGAACCTCGGGCGGAGAAGTCCTGGTGATACAGGACGGCCAGCGAGCCCGGCAAACGCGCCACCACGTCGCGCGCGCCGACAGGGCGCGTGCGGGCTAGCGTGAGCTCTGCTAGGTGGCGACATCCGAACCCTAGCCCCAGAATTACTGGACTCTCTTAAGTCGATGCCTGAATCGTGGATCGGCGAGGAAAGGGTTCGGATTTTGCCGCCGATCTGCTGTTGAAAAACGGGCGGGGCCCGCAGCAGGTAGATAACATCTACATTTATGAAATGCAAAATGTTGCTGAGCCACATGGGCTGCTTCAGGTTGAACGGATACTGCTGCGGAAGCGCCGAGCTCAAGCGCCCAGCTCGTAGATCGCGTAGTCTGTCATCCACTTGTTCCTGTCGCACGACGAGGTGAGCTTGCAGCCTCCGGAGCTGCTCGCGTAGCTGAAGTACGCGCAGCCCGACTGAGCCAAGCAGGCGACCCCGCAGGCCTGAAGGTCCGCTGCGGTGGGAAATGCCAGCGGAGATCCTTTGCACATCCCGACCGCATTCCACAGCGTGTAGGCCAGCGGGGTGGGCGCAGGGGTCGGGACCCCTGGCGCGAAGGTGGGCGCCAGGGTCAACGCCAAGTGGTAGATTGTGAAGTCCGTATCGAACGAGTTGATGCTGCCACAGGTGTCACTCAGCTTGCACTCCGTCGCGGAGTAGCTGAAGAACATGCAACCACTCGACTGCGCGCACAGGCTACCGCACTGCTCGACGGTCAGTCCGGAATCGTCCGTCGTGCCAGAGCCCTTGCACTTTCCTGTGTCGTAGATCCCATACGTCACCGGGGTGGGCGCAGGTGTCGGGACCCCTGGCGCGAAGGTGGGCGCCAGGGTCAACGCCAAGTGGTAGATTGTGAAGTCCGTATCGAACGAGTTGATGCTGCCACAGGTGTCACTCAGCTTGCACTCCGTCGCGGAGTGGCTGAAGAACATGCAACCACTCGACTGCGCGCACAGGCTACCGCACTGCTCGACGGTCAGTCCGGAATCGTCCGTCGTTCCAGAGCCCTTGCACTTTCCTGTGTCGTAGATCCCATACGTCACCGGGGTGGGCGCAGGTGTCGGGACCCCTGGCGCGAAGGTGGGCGCCAGGGTCAACGCCAAGTGGTAGATTGTGAAGTCCGTATCGAACGAGTTGATGCTGCCACAGGTGTCACTCAGCTTGCACTCCGTCGCGGAGTAGCTGAAGAACATGCAACCACTCGACTGCGCGCACAGGCTACCGCACTGCTCGACGGTCAGTCCGGAATCGTCCGTCGTTCCAGAGCCCTTGCACTTTCCTGTGTCGTAGATCCCATACGTCACCGGGGTGGGCGCAGGTGTCGGGACCCCTGGCGCGAAGGTGGGCGCCAGGGTCAACGCCAAGTGGTAGATTGTGAAGTCCGTATCGAACGAGTTGATGCTGCCACAGGTGTCACTCAGCTTGCACTCCGTCGCGGAGTAGCTGAAGAACATGCAACCACTCGACTGCGCGCACAGGCTACCGCACTGCTCGACGGTCAGTCCGGAATCGTCCGTCGTGCCAGAGCCCTTGCACTTTCCTGTGTCGTAGATCCCATACGTCACCGGGGTGGGCGCAGGTGTCGGGACCCCTGGCGCGAAGGTGGGCGCCAGGGTCAACGCCAAGTGGTAGATTGTGAAGTCCGTATCGAACGAGTTGATGCTGCCACAGGTGTCACTCAGCTTGCACTCCGTCGCGGAGTAGCTGAAGAACATGCAACCACTCGACTGCGCGCACAGGCTACCGCACTGCTCGACGGTCAGTCCGGAATCGTCCGTCGTGCCAGAGCCCTTGCACTTTCCTGTGTCGTAGATCCCATACGTCACCGGGGTGGGCGCAGGTGTTGGGACCCCTGGCGCGAAGGTGGGCGCCATGGTCAACGCCAAGTGGTAGATTGTGAAGTCCGTTAGGTATGGGTTCACGTCGGCACAGCTAGGATGCACATGGCATTCCGTCGCGGAGTGGCTGAAGAACATGCAGCCGTTCGACTGCCCGCACAAACTGCCGCATTCCGCGACGGTCATCCCAGTAATGTGCGACGTCGCGACACCCTTGCACTTTCCAGTAGCGTAGATGCCCCAGGTCAGTGGCGTTGGTGCCAAAGTTGGAGCCGGGGTTGCGCCAATCTGGTACACGCTGTAGCTCGGGTCTGCACCGACGTCGTCACAGTCCTGAGAAAGCTTACAGTCCCCAGAACCAGCAGAATAGCTCAAGAAGAGGCAACCCACTTGTGCGTCGCACAGGATGGCACATTCCTCGAGGCTGCCCGCCGTGGTCGTGGTCCCGGTCCCTTTGCACTTTCCTACACTGTAGATCATGGCGTAGACGGGTTCAGCCGTTGGCGCTGGCGTTGGTGCTGTCGTCGGAGGCGGTGCTGGCGTAGGTGCTGGCGTAGGTGGTGCTGGCGTAGGTGCTGACGTCTGAAGCGGTGCTGGCGTAGGTGCTGGTGTAGGTGCTGGCGCAGGTGCTGACGTAGGTGCTGACGCAGGTGATGACGTAGGTGATGACGTAGGTGCTGGCGTAGGTGCTGACGTAGGTGCTGACGTAGGTGCTGACGTAGGTGCTGGCGTAGGTGGTGCTGGCGTAGGTGCAAGCGCAGGTGCTGACGTAGGTGCTGACGCAGGTGATGACGTAGGTGATGACGTAGGTGCTGGCGTAGGTGCTGGCGTAGCTGCTACAGTCGGCTGCGGCGCTGGAGTCGGTGGCGCTGGAGTCGGCGCTGCAGACGGCGGAATGCACGCAGAGCAGCCGTTGCAAGCGCCCCAGTCGCACTGGGACGGGTCCGAATCTGTATCGCACCAAGCCCTGCACAACGGCGGCGGCGTCGGCGCTGGCGGTGATGTCGGCGCCAGCGTCGGAGCCGGCGTCGGAGCAAAAGTTGGGGCTGGCGTCGGAGGCGGCGAGTATGTCGGAGGCGGCGTTGGTGGCTGATCCCAGCACTGGTTGCACTCTGCGCAGATCTCAGCTGCTGTGTAGTCGACTCCATCAAAAGTATTCGTGTCGTCATCGCAATAACTATGGCTCCCGCCAATAGTCTCACCGTCCGGGCCTGGCCAGAACTCTCCATACGTGGTGCATCCGTCGGGCTCATCAGTGTAATAGGCGTTTACGAAGAGGTCCGCATATGCTCCAACGCAGAATGGCAAATTCGGAGTGGGCGCTGGCGTTGGTGGCGGAGGCGGCGTTGGTGGCTGATCCCAGCACTGGTTGCACTCTGCGCAGATCTCAGCTGCTGTGTAGTCGACTCCATCAAAAGTATTCGTGTCGTCATCGCAATAAGAATAGCTCCCGCCAATAGTCTCACCGTCCGGGCCTGGCCAGAACTCTCCATACGTGGTGCATCCGTCGGGCTCATCAGTGTAATAGGCGTTTACGAAGAGGTCCGCATATGCTCCAACGCAGAATGGCAAATTCGGAGTGGGCGCTGGAGACGGTGGCGGAGCCGGCGTTGGTGGCTGATCCCAGCACTGGTTGCACTCTGAGCAGATCTGATCTGCTGTGTATTCGACTCCATCAAAAGTATTCGTGTCGTCATCGCAATAGCTATGGCTCCCGCCAATAACATTCTCACCGTTCGGGTTTGGCCAGAACTCTCCATACGTGGCGCATCCGTCGGGCTCATCAGAGTAATAGGCGTTTACGAAGAGGTCCGCATATGCTCCAACGCAGGGTGGCAAGTTCGGAGTGGGCGCTGGAGACGGCGGTGGAGTGGGAGCTGGAGTCGGCGCTGCAGTTGGCACTGGAGTCGGCGCGACTGTCGGCACGGTTGGAGCTGGAGTCATTGGTGGAGTCGGAGATGGAGTCACAGGTGGAGTCGGAGGTGGGGCTGGCGTCGGACTGCATTGGACCGTTGGCACCGGATCAAACCAAGTGTCACCAGCGCAGTTGCACCCAGAGCAGTCCCAGCCAGCATTTTCCCTCTGCGCACAAGTTTGTCCGTACTTTTCCCAATACGTGTCACAAGTGTTGCCGACAATCGACATCGTACACCCCGTCGGCGTTGGCGCCGGGACGTTGTTGCCGACGCAGGTGCCGCTTATGCACACACCCTGGCCCGACTCGCAAGGTGTTCCGTCGTCAAGCGTGTTCAGCACCCCGTCTTGCCCAATACTTCCCGTGTACCCCCACATGGGTGTACAGCCAGTCCCTTCGAGGTCGCAGTTGATCTTGCAGTCGTTGTTCGCGTGCAGGCCGCAGAAGTCGTTCATTATAAAATTGGAGGCGAAATAAAACCCTCCCGTGCACCAGACGCGCTCGCACGATCCCCGGTCGCAGTAGCCGGTGGCGCCAGTCCAGACGCTGCACGTTTCCTTGCTGGACTTGAAGGTGCCGTCGCAGTTGCAGCAGTCGGCACCGACGGGCGCAGACGGGGTGCAGTCCTTCCCCGAGTCGAGGACGCAATTATTGCAGAAGCTGCACGACAGGGCACCCCCCGCGCACTCGCACTCCTCCCCGTCCTCCACGAGCTCGTTCCCGCACACAGCGTCGTAGTACGTGAGGGCATCGCAGCCCGAATCGACACGAGCTGAGACAACGGGACAAATGTCGTCCTTGGTAGATTCCGTGTTGAACTGGTAGATGCCCTCATACCTGCCATCTCCGTAATCCATGATTCCGCCCGTCGTACCCTGCCCGTTCTCGAATGCGTGGTCGGCCCCGAAGTTGTGGCCAACCTCGTGAGCAAACGTCAGCCAGGTGCCAGAAGTGATGTACGTGACACCGACATTGGTCATCTGCCCACCCAACGGGTCCATCGCACAGAACCCATTCCAGGCGGACCCCAAGACCGCCAGGCCGACGGTGCCAGCCTGACCATTTGTGAAGCAGTCGTCGAACACATGCCACAAGCCCTGCCTGGACGGCTGCGACCAGGCCATCGCATCATCCAGCTGCTGACTGATGCCACTGGCGCAGCTGGCCCAGTCCGTGGACTCTGAGACATACGCTGGGATGTAGACCGCGTCGATCATTAACGCGATGTTGAGCTGAGGTTCGTAGACCATGTTCGTCATTGCAAAAATGCTCTGCATCCATTCCGTGGCGTCCTCGGCGTCTGTGAATAATGCCGCCCCGTTGTCGCCAAGGGAGACACCCATGGAGAATTGACGCTTGATGTAATCGTCTTCGTAACAGTCTGTCCACCTGTGGATGGCCTCTGAGTCGAAGATCCTTTCCGTCGCGCCGGCCGACATAAATCCGCCTCCCTCGTCAATAATCCTCTCGGAAACGCGCGGGGTGTGCACCTGCAAGTTCGTCGACATCCTGCCAGTGGCAGGGTCCGCCTCCACGTCCACGAGGCTCCCGTTCATCCTCACGAGGCCTCGAAGCACGCCCTTCACGGGAGAGAGCACGGCGCCGTTATTCGCGCTGCGGAAGATGGGGCTGGTCGGTCACGCGCTGCCCTGGCACCGTCTCGCCCTTGCCATTGATGATCCTCGCCCCCCTTGTGAAGGGCGACCTCACGCGCTCCAGCTGCAGGTTGTACTTCTCGTTGTTGGAGATGAAGCTCATCTGCAGCGGAGCGGCTGGGCTCAACTCGGCCATGAGGCGCCGTCCGCCTCCAGACTGGCGAAGCGCCGCAGCCTCTTCGACCAGGTCCCTGCCTCCAGCATCCCGCAGAGAGAACGAGATGCTCGTCAGCTCGCGCGGCCCGCTGCCGCGCAGACCGGACTTCGGTGCGGGCGTCACCGTGAAGGAGCCCTTGACCGACCCGCTCGGTTTGCCCGCAGATGCGGAGCCCGTGATCCAGGTCACGAGCAGCGTGACCAGACCGCGTGACATCTCGGCGCGGGCTGATTGATATACAGGCCGCGCGGGGTTCGCTGGTGAGTTGTGGCTTGAGCCGAAATCACTTCCTTGAGCCAAAATGGCTACGGAGGCCTCTTGGGGCCGTCTTGGGGGCCTCTTGGGGGCTTATTGGGAGCGTCTTGGGGCTCCTCGGCGGCGTCTTGAGCCCCGCTGGGGCCTCTTGGGGGGCTCTTGGGGGCCCCTCGGGGCGGGAGGGGGGGGCAGTCGATTGCAGCCGCCCCCTCGAAGGCCACGATCCTCGTGAGGGGTGGCGAAAAATAGCCTCCCCCCTGGGGATCGCCCGGGGCCCGGCCGGGACCTGGCCGGGGGTCAGCCGGGGTGATTTTCGCCTGGGGGCCCCCGCGCGCGAACCAGAAATATTGTGAAGTAATTGCAGGAGATCTCAGCACGCCTCTGGCCCGCTGGGCCGGCGAATTTTGCACGATCGCTCACGATAGATGACGAGTAATAACGCGCCAGCCAGGCTGGCATCGACGCGCCCCGCCATATCCAGCAATGCCAGATCATTCAGTGCGCGCGCTGGATTCGCAAATGCTGTTCTTGAGAATCCTCTGCGGCAGAAAACGCACGTGCGCTTGCAAGCGCGGACTCCATGCGATCGTTTTCCATAGTGGATATGCAATCGATGCGGCGCAAGCCGCGGTGCAAGCTACGCCTAGGAGCTATGTGGCTCAGGGTTCGAAGTGCAAACAACGTGGCGCAAACTTTCCAGCACAAGCTACTCGGTGAAACTTCGCCGGGGCTCAGCGCACGAGGCGGCGACGAGGCGGCAAAGGGCGGCAACGTGGCGAAACCTCGCCGGGCCAACCGCTGGACCCACCCGGCGCACGAGGCAGATAGCCACGAGGTGGACACGGCCGGCAACGCGACAGAAACTCGCCGGACCCACCCAGCGGACGAGGCAGCTACGAGGGGGCCACGGGCGGCCACGCGGCGAAACCTCGCCGGACCACCCAGCGAACAAGGCGGCCACGAGGCGGCCTCGGGCTACAACGCGGCGAAACCTCGCCAAACCACCCAGCGCCCGAGGCGGCCGCGAGGCGGCCGCCGGGCGGCAACGTGGCGAATACACACCGGACCCACCCAGTGCACGAGGCGGCCACGGGGCGGCCACGGGCGGCAACGCGGCGAAACCTCGCCAGACCCACCCAGCGCCCGAGGCGGCCACCAGGCGGCGAAGGGCGGCAACGCGGCGAATACTCGCCAGACCCACCAAGCCTCGCCAGACCCATCCAAGACCACAGGGACAAAAGCAAAAAGCCCGAACTGCAAGTGTTGTCTGTGAGAAATTGCGCTGCACATGCGCGTGCCGCCGCGCGCGCGTCATAATACTTCAAGAACCCACGTGGTTCCTGGTTGAAAACACCTTCAAGACTTGGCCACAACAAGACTGCCTAAGCCATCGGTTTTTCCCGTACAACCATAACCAGACTTCTGCGTGCACACTCGTTACAAACTTGAGAAATTCATGAATGTGAAACTTCTTTCTGCCGGAAAGGACCACGCGGGCCACTTGCGCACGCTAATCAAAAACGTCAAACCATTCGCGAGCCCATCATATTTGTCAAATCATATAATGCGGGCATCACGCGCACGTCTCCTCGCACGTGCGTCGAATTCCGTCGAAAACGAGGTCCCCATAAAAATCGAAACAGAGATGGCCAAACATATACGACAACTGAATTGTGCTTCCTTATAAATATGTCACGGGGTCTGGACCAGAGCGGTCGTCATGCTGATGAATATGACAACGATTTGCAGGTTGCAAAGCGCGCCAATTGAGAGCGTAGAACCTCGATCGGCATCAATACGTTGCACGACTTGTATTTGCGAGAGCTTGTCTCAGCGCGCGAGGACTGCAAGGTATCGATGTCCCAGAAGATTGCGATGCAAGTTCGAAACCCGCAATCAGAACCGCAGTGGTGAATGTTTGTTTGAGCGACTGTTGCATTCAAGCCAGTATGTGTTTCAATGTCTGAATTTCCAATAAGTCTTGGGACGGCAGTTTGCATTGACAACGAGTTCACAGTTAACGTTACGGCACGCTCGTGCTATTACAGAGTCTGCTGCCTCGCCTGACTTGCTCATTACACCTTCTGGGCTCGTAGATGAAGCTGTATGGTGGCCTGAACTTGTATTCATTCATCACGGAGGCGTCCATCATACAGGCACAACACTTGGTTCGGTGCCCAATGTTGTGCCGTTCGTGCCAAGCTCGAATCCTAGTGGTCCATCTTGGACGACCAGCCCGCATACATGCGATCCCCACTTGGATTGGACTAGTGCAGAACGCTTTCCAGGACGCAGCAGTACAGCGTGGCGTGGATGATGTTCGTCGCGTTTCACGCTTGCATCCACATGATCAAGCTCGGAGGGGAACTAACATCGCCTTCAAAGCTTCTGACATTCGATCGTTTGCTTTTTTACCTTCCGTTAACATAACCTCAGATGTGCCCAATCATCTGGGAATCGGCTATTCTATAGTTGGAACAATAATTGGTCGCCGCAATCGCTCGAGTGCGTTATTCAAAATGGTCGCACTCGGCAACAATGACCTTCAACTTGTCGCAGGAGCACGAATTCAGTCCACCAAGCATTGAAGTACAACACTAATCACATCGAAAGATACCAGACCATGTCGGACGAACCATCTGACCTTCCCCTGCAGCCGCCAAGCCTCTTGGAGACTGGCACGTCAGGCAAAACACAAGAGAAAAAATAGCAACTTATATCAAAGAACACCCGAGAAACCAAGAAACGTGCATTTGAAGTAATCGAGTGTTCAGACTTCGGCGGGGAAAACACGCCGCAGGAGAATGATCGCGCATATCTCAAGGAACAAGGTATCTGGATGAAAACGTGGTCATGTACGACCGTACGACCGCCGTCATCATCATCGTCGTCATCAGCATCATCATCATCATCATCTTCATCATTAGCACCATCAGACCATCAGCACCATCGTCGGGGTCATGGTCACCGCTGTCATCGCTGAAATCGTCGCCCTCGTCAAGTTTCGGCGCGCCAGCGCTTCCTTTCCTCAAAATCACAATCATCCTCATCATCGCCACAAACATCACCAACACAATCGTCATCATCGTCGCCACCGACATCGTCGCCACCGTTACTATCATCGCTATGATCTTCATCACCATCACCACCGATGTCGTCGACATCGTATCGCCCCCCTCTCCAGTCGCAGACATCGGCATCAGCCTCATCACCACTGTCATCGCCGTAGTCGTTGGCGCCGCGCCAGTCATCATCGCCACCAGCGAGACCTGGTGGGCGGACTCGTCTGCGCGGGTGCGTTCCACGCGCCCGAGCGCTCGGTGAGATGATGGCTGTACGATCTTTGCCAACCAACTGCGGGCGGGCGGACGGATGGGATGTTTGCACGAGCGTGGGAGGTGGTCACGCGTAGATGTTGCGAGGTGAATAGATTCTTCTCAGAAGAAAGATAGACTCCACCACCCTCCCCTCGTGGACTTCCCGGTACTGTTCGGTACACCCTGGAGCACTGCAAATTACTTACGGTTCTGCCTCATCGCTCCTTTTCATCGTTGTCAGAGAATACAGCGCGCACATTCTTCCATCACAGAACACAACGGTTGAAGAAACCCTTGCAACAAAAACGATACGAAGTCCATACGCGCACACATGTCGCAGTCGTACCAACCACATCCATGCTGCAAACATGCCCACATACGAACACCCCAAAGTGCGCCAACTGTTCATCACAAACCTGGCGGATGTTCTGTTCGGGCGCACTTGCTGAATGACATCGGAAGCCGTATGAGTTGAGGAGTCTCGTCCGGAAGCCGAACTCTCATCTCACCACGCGGTGCAGCCTCGCTCGTCTAGCATGCGGGCCACGCGCGCGTGCCGCCACGCAAGAGCCCCAAAACTCTTCAAAAACCAGGGGTGTTCGAAGCATGTCAACGTAGAACATTTCAACGTATGGAACTGAACAAATGGATGCGCCAGGTTTCTTGGATCTCCGCACGCGACTTCCTCACCATCACTTTCATCAGCGCCGCCGTATCACGTTACTGTTCGTCGACAATCGTCGCCGTTGCCGCCAACACCACTCAATCACCTTCATCGGCGCCGTCATTGGCCTTGACGTCGTCATCTCAATCATCGCCATCACCACCGCTACTATCATCAACGTTGCCGCCATTGTCGACGCCATCCTGATACCGCGCCCGCCCGCAACCGACCCGCATTGAAGTGCCTCTGCACAAGAGCGACCTTCGAAACGCGTTGGAAAGTTGCCATCGGTAAGTGCCACCGCGGCCGGATCAAGTGCTCCAAACCAGTTTGCCGCTCTGCGTGCGAGCTTGCGCGCGCCAGCGCGGCCGCAGATATGCACATGGGCTTTGCAAAACAAGTTGCAGGTGGGAGGGTGGGATGATTGCGCACGCAGTGCAGTTGGCAACGCATGCGTTGGCAAAAATTAAGTGCACCACAGAAGGTGCACCACATTGGCTTCCCCGCCTGCTTTGGACAAAATAGATTGCACATAAGTTGCACTTCCCACATGTTGCACCTATATTGCACCACGCTGGCTGCACCTCAGCTTTCACCATATTGGTTGCTAAACATAGGATGCAGGATGACCATGAACAGGTTGAACAACAATGGTTACCAATCGAGAATGCAAGATCCCACTATTGAGGGGCTCACGTTGGCAGCAAAAGCTGTGTTTGTGTTTTGTGATGGTGCCTGTTGGAAGCATGCGTGAGATGCGCTCCTCACGATCCAAAGCTTGCCATGTGTGCGTTGAGGGCGCTGGCTGGCCGACTTCCTCGCCTGTCACAAACCTTCACACTACACCAGAGCAAAACTCCTCCCCATCCTTCTGCTGGCTTTCTGGGAGGATTCGGAGCACGGTACCAGCTATCCGAAAGCAAGCTTGCCTGGGCATCGGGGTCCCCGCCGGATGGTGCCGTCAGGCCAGGAAGTCCCGTAGATTCTGCCCTGGAGGTCCGCGCAACGAAGTCCAAACAGGGCGGATGAGGAGGAGCGGCCATAACGAATGAGTTCGGAGCTGTAGCGCGACAGCGCGTTCAGCAGCCAATGGCGGCCCTCGCTGCCGCCAAGAATGCGCACCAAAGTAGGAGGAGAGGTGCAAAGGCAATGGGGAAGAAAACTCCCCCTCCTCACATCGTCGGCTTCTCCGGCTTCTGCAAGCGCGGCCAAGACCGGGTTTTTATCACTTCGTCGATGATCCCGTACTCCACGCCTTCCTCCGGGGTCATGAAATAGTCGCGGTCGCAGTCAGCGGCGATAGTCTCTTGCGGCTTCCCGGTGAAGTCCGCGAGGTGCACGTTGAGGATGTCGCGCAGGAACAGGATCTCCCTGGCCTGGATCTCTATGTCGGCCGCCTGGCCACCCGCGCCGCCGAGGGGCTGGTGGATCATGATGCGCGAGTTGGGCAGCGCCTTGCGCTTCCCCTTTGTGCCCGCGCCGAGCAGGAAGGCGCCCATCGACGCCGCCATGCCGAAGCACACCGTGTTCACGTCACAGGGCACGAACTGCATGGTGTCGTAGATCGCCAGCCCGGCGGAGACGGAGCCGCCAGGGGAATTTATGTATATGGTTATCTCCTTCTCGGCATCCTTGTTCGCCAGATAGAGCATCTGCGCGATCAGCACATTGGCCATCTCGTCGTTCACCTGGCCCCCGAGGATGAGGATCCGATCCTGCAGGAGTTTGTTCCACAACCAAGCTGATGGCCACACCCTCAGGCACTGCATGTCACCGCAGAAGGCCTCCCCCGCAGCGTGAGACCGGAGGGTAATCAGGATTGGTATCGTGTGTATGCTTGAGGGTGGGGTACATCAGCGTTGTTGCAGATCCGGTCCTGCAGAAGGCGAGACATAACGTCGATCTGGCCCCCTTTCGTCGAGATCTGCGGGATGCGCACTGGAGGCACCTGCGGCTTCTCGGGCTCCTTCTCGGCGGCCACCCCGGTCCTGGCCAGGAGGACCGCCAAACATACTACAGGATCAAAACGTTACATAAACATGAACTTTCGATGGTCCGCGCGGATTTCTGGGATCTGCGCTCGACCCCCCTCCCTGGCGCGCGGAGTGCGTCAGGGGCGGCGGCTCAGGCGCCGCCAGAGAGGCCCAGCGCCGATCCAAGGAAACCGCGCGGAGCTCCGTAAGTTTTTGTGTGCGCACTTGCCTCACCTGAGGCATACACCTGCACCGATGCTGGCGGGCCCAGGATGGGCCCAGCATCGCTCTGTAGGCCCTCCCAGCTTGGCCAGGAAGGCACACTCGCGGGTCCTCGGCTCAGGATTTGCAAGGGTCGGCGCGGGCGTTTCTCAGCAGTTGGCGCTCTCCGATCTGGCAACTCCCCGGAAGTGCCCCCTGGCCAGAACTCCCCGAGGAACACGGCCGTGGCGACGAGCAGCCTTCCAGAGACTCACACAGGCCCCCAAACGCCCCAAAACCTCGATCCCCGAACCTCTCGCGCTGGGCGGAAAGGGGGGGAGATGGCAAAGGGGGGGGGGGGGGGCGAATCAGCTGCATACAGGTGGTCCTCCAGGCGCCTCCCGAGCGACAATGTACTCAGGAATAGGCCTGGCGACGGCGCTGAAACCAGCTGCCCGCAGCAGATGGGTCTGGCGACAGAGCCGCAAATTGCGTCCCCCCCTCTCCGAAATTGACCCCCAGCCCCCTCCTCGTCCGATATTTAGACGCTGGTCCTGGGGACCTTCCTGGGGCCACTCGCTCCACTCATGCGTTCATGCTGCGTCGAGCGTCCGTGGCCTCGAACTTGAGCCGAACGTGAGTCGAACCTGACTCGAGGTAGAGTCGAACTTGAGCCGAACAGATCCGTTGGGTGGGCCCCGACCAAGGAGGCCCCCGAAACGAACGTCTAACGATGTCGAGCCTCGAGCCCTCCGCCGTTCCTCGCGCCCCTCGGCCGCGGGCGCGACGGCCTCGCGGCGGCCGCGCCCGCGAGACCTGAAGGCTGGCGAGCACAGAATCGAATCGATAAGTTGAACCGGCGATCAACATGAATCGGATCGGCTGACATCGGCAGATCGGCAGAGCCGAAAGGCCTCATTGAGAAGTCGGAATCCAAATCGGCATCCGAAGTCGAATCGATTCGGCACTGGAATGCATCGAGATCGGATCGAATCGAATTGGAGGCATCGAAACGAGCACTGTGGGGAACGAGAGGATGCCAATGCCACTGCTCCCCCCTGACCTCTCCCAAAACGCTCGCACCAGGACCTCGGACCGAATCTGGTCGTGGCGACGAGGGCCCTCCAGGACGATCCGCGGTAGCGGCACCGTGGGGAACGACCGCGTGCCGATACTGCTCCTCCTCCTCCTCCTCCTCCTCCTCCTCCTCCTTCTCCTCCTCCCTGCTCCCCAGACCTCTCCCGGGTAGATTCTAACGAGAGCTTCGAGGAGATCCGAGCCGTGGCGACGATTGATCGGCACCTTTACTTCTTCTGAGTGTCGGTGCCTTTTGCCGCCTCTGACCAGCCCTGACATCCGCCGATCCGATGATTTCGATCCGCGGCCCCCGCGAATGTCCCGGCCCATTCCCTCGGGGCAGTGTTTCGCCCTGGATCCATGCTGAAGGTCGCTGGGCCCGATAATGGGCCCCCGAGGCCGACATCGAAGGAAAGCCTCGGGATTGACAACATCATGGTCGGAGCTCTCGACCACATCTTTCTGAGGCATGCTTCGCGCCGGATCGATCTGTGAGGACCTCGGGGTCCAACTGGAGAAGCCCAACGACGGAAGCCCAACTAAAGGAAGCCCCTCTCGCAGGCCAAACGACGGAAGCCCATCGCGGGGACCCGCAGCCGCGCCCACAGCGAGCGGCAGCGCGGCAGCCCGCCCGCCCCGCAGCGCGGCCCCCGCGGGGGGCCCCGCCGCGAGGCCGGGCGGCGCGCGGGGCACTGCCGCGGCAGGGCCCGCCAGAGGGGCGCCCGCGGGGAGCGGCACGAAGGCTGCGACGCCCGCCATGACTGCCGGCGACCTCGTCACGGGTCGGACGACGACCGCCGACGACGACGACGACGACGGACGACGACGACGGACGACGCCGACGACGACGACGACGACGACGGACGACGACGACGACGCCGACGACGACGACGACGACGACGACGACGACGACGACGACGACGACGACGACGACGACGACGGTGACGGCGACGGCGGCCTTGGCGGCGACGATCGCCGACGACAACGATCGCCGACGACGACGATCGCCGACGCCGACGCCGACGACGACGACGACGACGACGACGACGACAACGGACGACGACGACGACGACGACGACGACGACGACGACGACGACGACGGACGACGACGACGACGACGACGACGGACGACGACGACGACGACGCCGACGACGACGGCGACGACGACGGCGGTCGCCGAGGGCCGGCCCGCCACGGGCCCGCAGGGCGCCAGGTCGTGGAATGGGAGGGGCTCAGGAATGGGCGGGATTGGGGCTCAGAGGAGTCCCACAGGGCACTAAACGTCAGCCCGATACTGACAACATTACGTCAGCATCGTTGTGCTTTAGAATTTCCTCGTCCGGCTTGGTTGTCTCAACTTGATCGGGGGTCTCGGGTCAGGGGAGGGTAAGCCCTCAGCTCCGGACGTTGTCGTCGAGCGGAAGGAGGAGGAGGAGGAGGAGGAGGAGGAGGAGGAGGAGGAGGAGGGGGAGGAGGAGGAGGAGGAGGAGGAGGAGGAGGAGGAGTTGGACGAGGAGGAGGTGGACGAGGAGGAGTATACGGGAGCTTGGGTCGGGGGGGCCGGGGCAGGAAGGTGGGCCAGAGGCAGACTGGGGATCCCAAAATCGTGCGGTAACAGACCGTGCGATGACCTCGAAAGCCCAAAAGACCTCACCGCGCATTCCGTCACCACACGGACTTTGGGATCCTGGAGGCCCCACGCGCCCGACACACCATCGGAGAACAAACCGTGTGCCCACCCCGAATCCCCAACGACTCACCACACGGAGTGGTCACCACACCGTCAGGGGGCCCGAGCAGAGGTGGGATTACAGGAACATCGCCTCAAGCAGCCCGCAGAATACGTGCATCCAGCTGGGTCCGTTCCCGAACCCCACCTTGGAATGACGCCCCCTCTCTGCGCAAACCCCCGATGGAGAGAAGGCCACTTTCCAGACCGATTTGGGCCCGGTGTCTTGTTCCAGCAGGGGCTTCAGGAGCCCCGGAAAGTACAGGGGGCGGATAATCCCGCCTTCGGGGGAGCGGTAGATCCTAATTCCTTTTTAGAGAGGAGAATAGATGTGGTGCAATACATGTTGTGCAATATACGAGGTGCAGTATAATTTGCTGCGTGCAGCCAACTTCGGCCCCGTGGCCGGGCGCTCTCCTTGAGCGCCTCCGGCACTGGGCTCGCTGCGTATACCGCCCTGTTCGTCCGACCCGACCGTCCGACCCACCACAACGAGGGAGGAGGAGGACGAGGAGGCGACCCTCCTCGTCGTCCTCCTCCTCCTCGTCCTCCTCCAACCAAGGAGACCGATCTTTTCGCGGCGGGCGACCGTGAATCCTGGGAGAAGTTGTGGTCGCAATGGTAATCTGAGCATAGGAGTGCTGCATCCAGGCAGTTGTGGCCCCATCGAGGGCCCCCGTTGACTGCTGGAGGTCGAGGCACCCCAGACATCCAGCTGATTGACTTGTTGAGTCCCGGCACCTTTCTCCATCATTTCAGAGCCCAGGCGAACGTTTGCAGGCCGCGGGGCCAACAAGAATGAATCTGAGATGAAATGATCCCGGCAACGCACCCTCATAGCACTGAGATGCTCCTGCGAGGCTCCTGAGAAGTTCTTGATGATCTTCTGAGAGGTTCCTGAGAGGGTCCTCAGAGGCTTCTGCGATGCTTCTGAGAAGGTCCTGAATCGGTCGTCAGACGCTCCTAAGACCCTCCTGAGGTCCTGAGACGCTAGAGGCTTCTGAGAGTGTCCAAGGATACTTGAGAGGGCATTGGGAAGGTCCACGATGCTGGCTGACTTTTTAGGAAACCATGTGCATAAAAATGTTGGCGTGATTGGCGCAATATGTTGCATCTTCGGGGGACCTTGTCTGTCCATTTGCGCCCCTATCCGCATCGAGTCCGTGCCGCATCCATGTCAAGATCGTCATATACGCGTCGATGTCATGTCAAATCCGTGTCGGATCGACGCCAGATCCGTGTCGAGGCCGCATCGAGCCCGTGCAGGCCACACGTAAAGACACAACCTTGGCGGACAGACGAGGTCCACCGAAGATGCAACATAAGGTTCAGCGCTAAATCATTCAAACATGATTGGTTCGGGAAGGCTGAACTGAGGTTCACATGGCTGCCCAAAAGGCATCCTGTTTTATAGAGGCACCAGCTAACAACGTGTACGTCTCCGCGCCCCCAGCCACCGTGACCCCCATGGAAGAGATCCTGCACCTTCACTCAAGCGATGCGCTATCAGAGATAACTGGGTAAGGCGTCAGGACTTCTGAGGCCCGCGGAATCAATAACAAAAAGAGAAGACACACACACACACATCACACACATCACACTTTTACTCCGAGGCCATTTGGTCCAACTCAGCGAGGGGCGACTGCGGGACGCGCTAAAGAGTGATTACCACCGAACTTCTGTCGATAGGAGGCAGCCGCCAAGCGCTTGCGCGTGCAGGAAAAAAGCGCGCACGTCAGACAGGCACATGCGGAGAAGCCAGCAGGAGCGGCCAGGAGACAACGCGGCCAAACACAAATCACACACAAACAAACAAACGAACAAACAAACAAGCAAGCAGGCAAACAAACTGACAAACAAACGAACGAACGGACAAACTACCATTCGCCTTTTGGTCGTCTTCTTGTTTGTCCAGCGCATCTTTCGGAGAGAGGGGAAGGAGGAAAAGGGAGAGAGAGGCGGACAGCTGATGAGCAACGTGCACAGGACCCTTGACGGTGAAACGCCGGGGGAGAAAATCGTGCATCCGCGCTGGAGAGACGGCGTTGGACCGCAAATGTCTGCACCCACACGTGGAGACAACAATCTGTTTACCGCTACTTTGCGCGACCACACGCCCCGCAGAACGAAAGCAAGCGAGGCGGCGAGGGGGGCCAAAAGGAGGTGAAGGGAGGACACGGGAGAGGGGAAGGGCGGATACGAACACGCCCCCGTCTCGTAACGTGTATTCGGTCCACGGCCGAGACAGGGCATCGGACAGCGTGGACGGCAGCAGCACCAGCAAACCAACGAACAAACTACCACAACAACAACAATCCGTTTAAGGCTGTTCGCTCTCATCTGCTCGCGTGCCACTCAACACGTATATCCCAAAACCTCGATACCCGCCCTCTTCGTCTCGGATCGTACCCCTTGTGGGTATATCTTCCTTACCTTTGGCGCAGCCCCCTAAAACAAGGGAAGAGAGGACGGATGGAAGGGGCAAGAGGGAGGGAGAAGGGAGCACGAGAGACATCGGGAGGAGGGGGGCCAGAAGCAGAACCCACGCGGCAGAACCAAACGGTCAGATCGGATGGGAAGACCCGAACGGGCGGGTCGGGAAGGCGGGCCCTGGCCGCCGGGTCGAGCACGCGGATTGCTGAAGCGTGAGTCATGCATGAATCGCGATTCCTAAATAAATCGTGAGACAAGGCCAAAAAGCGAGAGCGTGATTCATGAGTGTCGAGGGCGCGGTGTCTGAATACATCGACAGGAAGCACCACGCGAGAACACGACTCCTGCATACATTCTGAGGACGGCCCGCGCGAGAGCGCGATTTGGGAACAACTTGTGAGGATGCATCCAGCGGGACCCGTCGTTCTGGTAAACCGGGGGCCTGGGGAACAATCTGATGCTCAAGACTGCCCCCTGCAAAAAAAACAAGGTGCGAGCCCAAGGAGGAGCGCTATCATTGAAAAACGCAAAATGGGCACCTGGGGGATCAACACAGCGACAACGACAACAACCACGACAACAGCACACACGCAAACAAAACACACTCGGCTGTCTAGGGGTGTGTTCCTGATCCCTCTGAGGGGAGCCAATCGCTGTCAATGATCCCTCGAGAAAGGGGATTCGAGCCGCAGTTCCCCCAGCCGTGGCTGGTCTACCTCGAGCTGGGAGGATGGCAGCCAGACGCATACACTGATCCTGGCCAGGCCCTTCCTGAGCCCAGGGTCGATGTATACGCCGCCCTGGCTTGGCCAGGACCTGCCATCGCTCGGGCGTCCATTTCCCGTGAATGTGTCGGTTTCGTGCGTGCTCTTTCCCAGATGATCCAGGGTGCGCCTCGATGGTCCTCGCCGAGAAACATGCGCACGTCCGAGCGATGCCAAGAGGAGGGCAAAGTCCCGATCCTCGGCTCAGGATTAGCCAGCATCGACACAGGCGTGTTCCAGTAGTTGGCGCCCCTCTCCAAGGGCGCACCTGGACCAGAATTCCCTGAAGAGCCTGGCATTGGCGACAAGATGCCTACACGGGTATTGTCCAGGCCAGTCCTGAGCAAGCATCGATGTATACGCCCTCCTGGCTTGGCCCAGAAAACGCAAACCCAGACCCCCGACGCCATGATTGTCTCACACAGCTTGGACCCCGAAAGGTCTCAACCCACAAACCCAGGACAAGCGGTTCATCCTGAATCGTTATTTGGGGGGCCCAGCGAGAGCCCACAGAGGCAGCACAGAATTTGAAGACAAGTCCGTCGTGCTGTTGTTTCACGACGCGAGGGCGTCTGGGTACACCATTCCTTGAGCAGGGACCGACCGTCCCGGCAGTTCAATAGGCCTACCACGAAATTTTCTTAGAACCCCAAAATGTTCGGGCAACAAACACAATATTCTTAGCACACATCCCCAATGTGTTAAACTTACCCTGGCGACGTACCCAACGCCTGCGCAATGCGGGGCAGGAATAGCTTGGGAGAGTTGACGAGAAGGCGGCGACGTGACATGGACGCATATTATTCTGCGAGCGGCATTCGGAAGGTTCGCAGGTCCCCAATCAAGGAAAAAACGATGAGTAACTAAGTGAACCCCTCAGTCACTAAGGAAGACGCTAGTTCCAAAAGGAGACGGTGGGCAAGGGGCTTGAAACGTCTGCGGGGCAGCAACAGCATGGCATGGCCCCCTAGGGACGGCGAGGCCCCGCTCAGGTCTGCGCAGTGCCTCACTCAGCTGGGGTCACCAGCAGCCCTCGAAAGTGGCGACAGTTTCGCAGATTGCAGCCCCCCAGGGATGGGGAGGTCCTGCTCAGATCCGCGCGGTGCCTCACTCCGCTGGACTCACCAGCAGCCCTCGAAAGTGGCGACAGTTTCGCAGAGCGCAGCTCCCCAGGAACGGGGAGGTCCTGCTCAGACACGCGCGGTGCCTCACTCCGCAGGACCCACCAGCAGCCCTCGAAAGTGGCGACAGTTTCGCAGAGCGCAGCCCCCCAGGGACGGGGAGGTCCTGCTCAGATCCGCGCGGTGCCTCACTCCGCTGGACCCACCAGCAGCCCTCGAAAGTGGCGACAGTTTCGCAGAGCGCAGCTCCCCAGGAACGGGGAGGTCCTGCTCAGACACGCGCGGTGCCTCACTCCGCAGGACCCACCAGCAGCCCTCGAAAGTGGCGACAGTTTCGCAGAGCGCAGCCCCCCCCGAGGCAAGGCAAGAAGGCAAGAGGATACAAGAAGGAGGGGGGGGGAGGCGGGAGGCAGGAGGCGGGAGGCGGGAGGAGGAGGAGGAGAAGACGCGACCGCAGTGCTCTATTCAGAACGAATACCCAACCAAGAAGGGTTGGGAACAAGACAGTCTCAGCCAGACCTTCTCTAAGAACATTTCGCGCAGACCACACAAGGTTCTTAGAACATTCTTTGGTGGGCTTCTAAGGAAGCCAGGACGCCTCGCCACTGCTTGACAGGGGCAACACAAAATGTTTGAAGACAAATCCGTCGTGTTGTTGTTTCACGACGCGAGGGCGTCTGGGTACGCCATTCCTGTGCCCACGATCTGCTTGACGGTTTCCCCCGGGGCCGTAGGCGACCCGAGGAGGGGGAGGAGGAGGAGGAGGAGGAGGAGGAGGAGGAGGAGGAGGAGGAGGAGGAGGAGGAGGAGGAGGAGGAGGGAGAAGGAAGGAGAGGAGGAGGAGGAGGAGGAGGAGGAGAAGGAAGGCTCGTCTTATCCGCCACCCTTGTCCCCTTGCCCTGGCTTCACTCGAGTGCCCACCCACTTCAAAAGGTAGTACCCCAGGCCCGCTCAGAGCGGACAGCGCTATCTGCGCTTGGCAGTGCTTGTTGTAGTCTCCTGGTTCCTGCTTGCTGCTGCCCTTGCCTCGTTCTTCACTCTTTGGGCTTCTCTCTTCATCCATCCATTGGCGTCGACTGTCTGCCTTTGACCGAGCCGAACCGAACCGAGGAGGAGGAGGAGGAAGAGGAGGAGGAGGAGGAGGAGGAGGAGGAGGAGGAGGACGAGGAGGAGGAGGAGGAGGAGGAGGAGGACGAGGAGGAGGAGGAGGAGGAGGACGGGTCGCCTGAGCCCTTCAGAGAAGCCCTCCACGATCTGCCTGGCCGAGCTCGGTGCAGGCGCAGATTTGGCCGGTGGCTGCCCCGGCGACCTCGGCCGCTCCCCCTCGCGGGGCACACAACGGGAGAGCGGGGCGGCGGGGCCCGGCAGGACAAGCTCGAGCCAGGCTTCTCACAGAGGAGGAGGAGGAGGAGGAGGAGGAGGAGGAGGAGGAGGAGGAAGAGGAAGAGGAAGAGGAGGAAGAGGAAGAGGAGGAGGAGGGGGAGGAGAAGGAGGGGGAGGAGGAGGAGGAGGAGGAGGAGGAGGAGGAGAAAAAGGAGGAGGAGGAGGAACCCGACCTCCAACGCATGGAAAAATCAATGATACGGTGCTTCATCTTGTTCCGTCCGCCTCGCTAGCAACTGGGAATGTCAAACTACGACTCAGGATCTAAAACTGGCCGGCCCTGAGGACAGGGTCGGGACTTTTAGGGACCCCGTACTGAACAGAAATACAGCATTGGACCTCTGGGGACGAGGGGGAGGAGGAACAGAGGGAGGAGGAGAAGGAGGAGGAGCAAAGACCAAGACAAAGAGACGCTGGGGACTGCTTCACCAGACAGAGGCGAACTAAAGCTGGAAGACCTCAAAGCTGTCACCCAACCATGGGTTGGGAACATTTGCTTAGCGAGTCGCGGCGGCGGCCACGGCGGCACGCCATGCCTTGCAATCGGATGGCGTGTCGGTCCGCTTCGCGGGGCAGGAGGCCGGGAAGAGCTCGGGGCGGTGACGCGAGGGCTCGCGACGTGGTTAGCGTGGGAGGCTGGGACGAGCTCGGGACAGTGACGCGAGGGGACCGCGACGTGGTTAGCGTGAGGACTGCGACGTGATAGCGCTCTCGCCAAGGACGAGGAAGTCAAGGCGAAAGGAAAAAGATGAGGAAGCATCGACGAGGCGGCGGAAGGCGCCGGCTCCGGCTGTCGCTTCGAAAGCCTGTGGGGCCTCGGATGAGCCTCTTCGGAATCTGCAAGCCAGAGGTAGTTCGGAGACCCCCAAGGGGCAGCGGCTTCTGGCGTCTGACGGCAGGGGGGGGCGGCGAGGCCAGGGAGGACAGGCGAGATGGCACAAGTCCCGTCCGAGGGCAGCGGTGCTCCAGACACGAAGAGAACACGAGACGCGATAGGCAAGCCATCTGGGCGACCCACGATTCTGCAGTCGGACTGCTCTACGACGAGAACAATGTCATCCTACGACTGGCTCGGGATGTGTTCTGGGAAGCCCTGAGCATCAGCCAGCCCTCGGCCATCTGCACCTGGCCATTCGTCTCTGGCCGCGCCGGCCAACAGGAACACCTGGAAGCCTTGGATTGTCATAACTTCTTGCTCATCTGGTACACATCAAGCCCGACCTTATGCCGCCTGTTGCTCCTGGACACAAGCGGGAAACCGGGTTGTGGCCACAAAGCCTTCCAAGCAACCGCAGGCTGGGTGCGCGGGCCGCGCAAAGCTTACCGGCTGCGCGCCACGCTGCTCAGACAGATGCAGTCCGCCTGGAGAGCTCGAGTGCTCCCGGGATCTTGAGAGCTGCCGGCTCGAAAGCGTGCCTGGGGACAGCCTCCGGCGCGTGCGCCCGTCCACGCTAAGACGAAGGGAGGATGAAGATAGATCCAGATGAGGACATATCAGGAAACTCTGAGAACTGGCGGGTAATATGGCGGATGTATCGGACGTCGTCGCCGTTCCAGAGCACTCCAGAACGCTCTGGGAGAGTTCTGGAACGCTCCAAAAGCGATGTTACCCTCCTCATCCTAAGCCTGGCCTTAACGGGCCCTGGAAACAACAATGCATGAGTTACCGCATTCGTCTTTCAGCTTTTGTTAGCATGTCTTGTGCATGCTTCTGGCGCTTGAGCTTTACGGGTTCCATTTCCCCTGGTGGGGACCTGGTTCAAATCACATTTGTTTACTAAATCCGACGCGTTTTCAAACTGGTTCCGAACGTCCTTGGGATCCCCTGACTGCCCAGGCCGCTTCGGTGAACCGCGTGTTCCCGTTTCGGTGAATCAGCTCAAATGCCGGATCCGCTATCAAGAGGCAGTCTTCTGAAAACGGTGGAACGAAAAGGCCCCGCCGCTTCCAGGGCCCACCAAGGGCTGCCTGACCCCCTGGGCATCGCTCGGACGTCCATTCCCTGTGTTTTTTGTTTCGGTTTCGTGCGCGGTTGTTTCGCCAACTGATCAAGGATGCTCCTCGATGGTCCTCGCCGAAGGAAAAATGCACACGTCCGAGGGCTGCCAAGCACCCGCTGTCGTGCCGTCGGCTGCGGCCGGGGCTGGCGGGTGGCCCGCCTCTGCCGGAGCCGAGGTCGATCAGGTAGGCGAGCCCGCTGCGGTGGTGCGCGAGCATCGCGTGCCTGGGAGCCACGCCGCCGTGCGCAAGGCGGACGTCGCAGTCGGCGCCGCTGCCCAGCACGTAGTGGCTTCTGGCGGGAGCGAGGCGGCAGGCGCGCAGACGCGCGGGGGAAAAAAACCCAGAACACACACACACACAGAAAAAAAACACAACAAACACACACACACACACAACAAACACACACAGACGCTTTCTCGGGAGGGACGCTGGGCCTGAAAGTGAGCCTCGCCCTTCCCACTCGCCAAGCCCCATCCTCTCACTCATCCTCTGCACTATCCCGCGCCAGCTCCTTCTTGTCCTCACTGCGCTTCTCCGCCTTGTCATGTTCGTCCTCATCCCAATCCATCCATCCAGTTTCCTTCCGAATGGCTCCTGTTCGTCGCGCCATCAAAGGTTTCGCTCGGGTTGTCCAGGCGCTTCGCCTGAGACTGCCTCCATGTATGCTTCTCACGCATGGGCGCTTCAGACATCTGCGCGAGCCACAACTCACAAATCAGCTTCAAGGTTGAAGGGTGGGCCGCTATTTCAAAGAATTGCCCTCCACTGAGGCTAACCACAGCCAAAGATCCTGAAGCATGCCCCGACAGCTGCACGAGTGAGGGTCGCCCGTTTGGGAAATTGCGTTCTCGCCTGGGACGTCCCTGCCATGTACGTCCCTTACACATGAAATCCCCAACGGTTGCAGGGATGCAAGGCGGCCCGTGATCACAGATTCACGCTGTCGACTGAGACTTATCCACAACCTCTGATCCTGAAGCTTGGAGCTCCCAGCATTTACACGGGTGCAAGATGGCTCCTGCTTCGAACAGAGCTCCCGCTGAAGACACCTGCAGACTGTCTCGCACCTTTTGGCTAGCGCATTTGAGGCACCCAGATACTACGAGGGTGGAGGGCGGTTCGTTGCCAAAATCGTATTATGTCTTGGGGCTTCTTCACAGTGTGCGGCGCCAGCGCTTGACGCCTCAACAACTACGCATGGGGGAAGGCCGAACCCTCCCTTCAGCACCGCGCAACTCCTGAACAAACGGCTGCAACCTGCACGGATGGAGGGCGACCTCCTTCATCCAGTCCCCCCTCCTGCATCATCCCAGGTACCTGCTCCTCCTCCTCCTTGCTCCTCCACCGGCCCCTTGCCTCCTCCTCCTCCTCCTCCTCCTCCTCGTCTCCCCTCCTGCCCCTTCATCTCCTCCGTCTCGTCATCCTCCTCGTCTCGTACCATCCTCCCTTCTCAGCGATCCAGCTCCACCAGTCGCTCTTCCTCCTCCCCATGAGACTACCCCTTCGGTCCCTTGCCATTAGCACCCGTCCACGGGCCCCGTTCGCGGCCCTGGCTGTCCTGCGGCCCACGTCGACCACCTCGCCATCCAGCCCAGGCCCTTCCAGCCGCAGATTTGCCTGGGAACCGAGGAAGAGGAGCAGAGGTGGGAGGAGGAAGAGGAGACAGGAGGAAGAGGAGCAGCAGGAGGGTGAGAGAGGAGCAGGAGAGAGGAAGAGAAAGAGGAGAAAGAGAAGGAGAAGGAGGAGGATGAGGGAGTAGGAGAGAGGAGCAGGAGAGAGGAAGATAAGAAGAAGGAAGAACCTCTTGTGGATGTTTCTGCAACTATGCCACAGAACGGCATCACTTCGCACGTGGAGCGCTGTCATTCCCGCGACGGGCCTTTCCGCTGGGCATTGGCCAACCACTGCCACCGAAACCGGGTGGCTCGACTCTCGGATGGAAGAGAAGGGAGGGTACATCCCCCCGTGCCGTCCCCTCGGGCTCCACATGCCCTGTGCTCCACCTCCGCGACAATTCCATGATTGCACCAGTTCGATGCAGGTCCAAAAACGCATTCGCTGCTGGTTGATTGGTTTCTAAGGCAAAGCCGCCAGGACGTTGGTACCAGAGCCACATATAGAAGCTGGCTGGCGCCAATGCGGTCTGCTCCCTTCGGAAAGATGCGCCGTCACGATCCCACGGTAAAATGCCAGAAATAAGCTGGCTGCCCCCGCTTGTGTAACAAGCGACCGGACGTTGGCGCCCTGATAGCTTGCACTGCATCAAATACATGCCCGATAGTGGCAACCATCATCGCTGGCTCATAAGTTGTACCAGTACGGTTATGCTCGTGTTGATCGCCATGCACGGCGACATGTGCATGCATCATGCGTAAGTGTAAAAGTATGCACATGTATGGTGAAGTAGTTGACTGGCACTGCTTTTCATGCCACCTATGAGCGCAGCATGAGTAGCATCTCCCATGTCGTGCCTTTATAGAGATGAGTCTTCACACTCCCTCGAGACGCACAAGACGACACGTCCGCGCTGCACCCGGAGCGCTGCCCTCTGCGCGCAGGGCCCGAGGACGGCCGAGAGCTGCAGGCCCGCCACCACCTGCCCGCCTCCTGCAGGGGTGTGTCGGGCGGGGCGCGGCACACCCGCGGGGGAGTTCGCCAGATCTGGCGGAGGGAGCCGAAGCCTTGCCCTCTCCCGCGGTCCAGCGCGCTGCGCACCTCGCCCCCGACGCCTTCGCCGAGCCGAGGGCCGTGGTTGGGGCGCGCGGCAACATGGATTACGGAGCTATGAATCTGGCGCGTGGGCACCAGGGCCTCCTCGTTTGGCAACGGAACGCGTTCATGTTGCATGGAGGGGAAAACCGTCGCAAATCCACGCGCCCTAATGCATGCTTGCGTTTCCTCTGTCAGTGTACACGTACATCCTCCCCTCCTTCCCCCGCCCCCATCGCGGCGGCTGGCTGCTGAGCGGTGGCGCGTCCCCATCATGCATCTGGAGCACAGGCACGCCTTACATAGTCACAGGTTGGTTTTTCCTGTTCCAAAGGGTGCCCATGTCAGACACGCCTTACGTAGTGATTGTGCCCCCCCCCCTGTCAATGGCACTCCTGCCGCTGCCTCGGATGGGTTGCTCTGTTACGATCTTGGGAATCTTGGACCCTGACCAACAAGAAATATGAGACTTGACATGTTATGAACGATGACCACTAGCCCGTCGTCCCGTTCTGGCGTGGTTTCCTGGCTGCTGGCACCCATCATCCTCAGGGCAAGGCGGTGGTAGGCGACAGCGACTGTCGCAAGGACAAAGATGCTGTGTTGGCCTCTGCTCTGGACTGGTGGTGCGTTGCAGCATCACATATCCACTCCACTACTGAGCTGAGTATGTGTGCACCGATGGTCGCTTCGGCAAGAAGTTTTACGCAAGGAGGGGGAAAGAGAAGAGGCGAGGAGATGGGGCCAGGAGCGGGGCAGGGATGCGCTAGAGGCAGCAACAGCAGCAAGCAGCCGAGGCAGGATTAGGGAATGGTAAGGATGTGCACGAGGAGAACTGGGAGGAAACAGAGATAAGGGAGCAGGCTGCGGAGGAATACCATGAGCCACAAGAGAAGGCAGCATGAGCAGGCAGAGGCAATAGAGGATGAGAGGTCCAGGGGGGAAAAGGAGCAGCAGGAGCATCAGCGAGGAGGGAGGAGGAGCAGCAGCAGGACCCCGAGCAGCAGAACGAGGAGCAGCAGCACGAGGAGGATGAACCGCCATCTGGAGGCCCTCGCCGAGCTCTTGCCGATGTCCGATGGGCAGAGTATTCCGCAGAATAGCGGGGGGAACTATCTGCCCTGACCAGCCTCCCCTCCGTCTCCTCCTCCTCCTCCGCCACCTTCTCCTCCTCAACATCATCATCAGCATCATCATCAGCCGCACCATCATCATCGACCACCACCATCATCATCATGAGTCCGCCCTAATCAACCATTTGTCCTCCTCATCCTTTTGTCGCCCTTCCCCCCCTCCTACTCCTCCTCCTCCGCCTCCTCTCCCGCCTCACAAAGTTATTTCTCCATTTGTTCCCCGCTCCTTCTCTCTCCCTCTCTCTCTCCCTTCTCTGTAGTTGGGGTTTGCTCGCCTGCGGAAGGGGTAATGGTAATGCCCGACAAAGCAGTCACCGAATGCGGCTGGCTCATACGAATTAGCTGGGTAAGTATTCCCTGTTTCAGGCATTGTCGAGAACCCGACGCTCTGATCGAGGGGCTCGGTTCCACAACAGCGCATGTCAGGTCAGCACAGAACCATCACGGATCCACTTCTCCTCCTCCCCCACATCCTCCTGGTCTGCCTCGACCTCGCTTCCTTCACGAGGCCGCCCACGGCGACACCACAACTGAAGACAGCCCGAACCGACAGCGGTTCCACAACCGACCAAAAACCGAATCGAGCGAGCGCAGCCGAGAAGGTCACACCGACGCGGCAACGGCGCGACAGCCAAGCGAGCCGAAAACGACCGCACCGGGGGAACAAAAAGGCACTCGTATCGTTACTCCACGGACCTGCCCTGGGGTGCGTTGTGATCAGGATTTCGAGGCGAATCCTGCCGTGGTGACCAGGCAAGGATCGGGGCATCCATGTCTCCTCCTCCTCTGGCGGGCGCAACCGACCGCGGCGCAGCGACCGAAGCAGCGCACACCCTCGGCACCCACAGGATTGGCACGAGCCCGCTGCTCTTCGCCCCGCCCCGGCCCCCCCTCCCCTGCGCGCCTGCTCCGGGGCGCAGCACCAGCGGGGGGCCTCGTGCCCCGGGCCCTCCAGGGGAGGAGGGGCCACGCGCCCATGCTCTCGGGGGGCCGGCTGGCGGGAGCGTTTGAACATGGGTTCTGGAATGAGTTCGGCCCCAACTTCGGTCAGGAAATCCTGCTCCGCATGTCGCAGCGGCGGCCCCCGCGACAAGCTGTGCCCTGCGAGCTGATGGCGTGTCACTCCGCTCCGCAGGGCGGAAGGCGGGGAAGGGCTCGGATGTCGACGCCCGGGGACCAGGATGGACGTGATTAGCGTGTCGCATTGAGGCGTGGTGGGCCAGAACCGGCGGCGCGTCACGCTAAGCCAGAGTTCCTGACCAGAAGTTCGGACATGGATTCGGGCCCAACTAGGTCTGGAGATGGGCTCGACCCTTAAGACGGGCCAGGATGGAGGAGGCAACAATCAACAATGGATATTGGCTTTGTTTGTGGGATTTTGAAGTTCTTGCCTGTTTGGACCTGCGATCGCCCAAGACGGCCAGAGAGGCCTCCAAGATAGCTCCAAGAGCAATTCCTCTCCCGCTCTCTCCCCTCATTGCCCGTCGCCCTTCAGTTCAGTTGGTTCCCGCATCAGGTCCGCCCGCCGTCACTGTATCAGTTCATCCTAGAGAAATCGCGATACGTGTTCATGATTATCCCCTAGAGGCCCCCAGAAAACTCCGAGGATACGGGCCCCCAGAATTCCCCACGAGGCCTCATCCTCGTCTTCATTATCGTCCCTCTTCTCCTCCTCTCTCTCTCTCTCTCTCTCTCTTCCTCCTCCAGGTATTCCTCCAAGGTTTGCCACAACGGCTGGGAGAACACATAGTCCAATATCTTTGCCAAGACATGGCCCAACGTTTGGCCACATAGACGCTTCCAAACAAACAGGGGGCGGTGGTGGTTCGCCGTAGGCGCTTTCCAGAAAAGAATCAGTGCATGCTATGCTCGTCAACATTGCATGTACTAATGTACTCCTGCAGGATGTTTCGTACACCCGTGCCAATGGATGCCCGAGCAGGAGCAGCGGCGACGCTAACAGCAACGCGTGTTCAAGGAGCGTCACGGCAGCACTACCAATCAGTCAAAGAGCGATCATGCAATATCTCATCGTGCTGGTTGCATGTGGGGTAAACCTCGTGGGATCTCGCGTTCTGCTACACAACTTTCTCGCGCAGTGTGTGCCGTGACGTACCGTACGTCCCAAACGCGCTGCGCCGCGCGTGCGTGTCGTCTACATTCAAAACTTGTGTGAATATTTTTTTGTAAGAAATCGAGAACCAGCTTCGCTGAATGTCGTAACCCTCTGGCGAGATCCAGCTTTGGAAGCGACTTCTCTTAACGCAAAGCGCACACCCCAGCGCAACCCCCCACCGCAAACCCAAGCGCAACCCCCCTTCGCAGACCCCCAGCAAAAAAAAACAGCGCAGCCGCCCAGCACAACGCCTCAGAACCCCGCCCCCCCGCGCACCCTCCCAGCACAACGCCCCAGTGCAACCCCCCAAGCACAAACCCTCCAACACAACCCCCCAGAACAACCACCAGCACAACCCCCCAAGCGGACACCCCCTGGCACCGCCGAACCCAGCGCGCCCACCACCAGCATGAGCGCCAGCACAACCACCTCCAGCACAACCACCACCAGCGCAACCACCAGCACGACCACCAGCACAACCACCAGCACAACCACCAACACAACCACCATCAGCACAACCACCACCAGCACAACCACCAGCAGAACCACCATCAGCACAACCTCCACAAGCACAACCACCAACAGCGCAACCACCAGCGCAACCACCAGCACGACCACCAGCACAGCCACCACCAGCACAACCACCAGCACAACCACCAGCACAACCACCAGCACAACCACCAGCAGCACCGCCTGAGCACAACCACCCGCACTACCACCACCAGCACAACCACCACCAGCACAACAACCACAAGCACAACAGCCAGCACAACCACCAGCACAACCACCAGCACTACCACCAGCACAACCACGAGCACAACCGCCAGCACAACCACCGGCACAAACACCACCAGCACAACCACAAGCACAACCTCCACCAGCACAACCACCATCAGCACAACCATCACCAGCACAACCACCAGCACAACCACCAGCACAACCACCAGCAAGAAAACCTGCACAACCAGCAACATAACAACCACACCAGCACAACCACCAGCAGCACGACCACCACGAGCACGACCACCGCGAGCACGAACACCAGCAACCACCAGCACTACAACCAGCACGACCACCGCCAGCACAACCACCAGCACAACCACCAGCACAACCACTTGCACAACCACCATCAGCAAAACCACCACCAGCACAACCACCACTAGCACCACCACCAGCACAACAACCAGCACAACCGCCAGCACAACCTCCAACATAGCCACCAGCAGCACAACCACCACCAGCGCAACCACCACCAGCACAACCACCGCCAGCACAACCACCAGCACAACCACCATCAGCACAACCATCACCATCACAACCACCAGCACCACCACCAACAGCACGACAACCACCAGCACAACCACCAGCACATCAAGAAACACAACCACCACCAGCACAACCAGCACAAACAAAACCACCACAAACGCAACCACCAGCACAACCACCAGCACATCCAGAAACACAACCAACACCAGCACAACCAGCACAAACAAAACCACCACAAACGCAACCACCAGCACAACCACCAGCACAGCCAGAAGCACAACCCGCATCAGCACAACCACCACCAGCACAAGCACTGGCGCAACCGCAACCAGCACAACCACCACCACCACGACCACAACGAGCGCAACCGCCAGCACAACCACCAGCACCACAACCAGCACAACCAGCAGCACATACACACACCATCAGCACAACCACCACCAGCACAACCACCAGCACGACCACAGCGAACACGACCACCACCACAACGACCAGCACGATCACCAGCACAACCACCGCCAGCACAACAATCAGCACAACCATAAGCACAACTACCACCAGCACAACCACCATCAGCACAACCACAACCCGCACAACCACCACCAACACAACCACTTGCACAAACCAACAGCCCAATTACCAGCACAACCACCAGCACTACAACCACCAGCACAACCACCATCAGCACAATCACCAGCACAACCACCAGCACAACCCCCCAAGCACAACCACCACCAGCACAACCACCACCAGCACAACCACCAGCACAACCACCGGCACAACCACCAGCACAACCACCAGCACAACCAGCACCAACACAGCCACCAGCACACTCACAAGCACAATCACCGCCAGCACAACCAGCATCAACACAACCACCAGCACAACCATCAGCACAACCGCCACCAGCGCAACCACCACCAGCACAACCACCACCAGCAGAACCACTTGCACAACCACCAGCACAACCAACAGCACACCCACTAGCAGCACAATCACCACCAGCACAACCACCACCAGCACAACCACCACCAGCACAACCACCAGCCCAACCACCAGCACAACCACCACCAACAGAACCACCAGCACCACCACTACGAGCACCACAACCAGCACAACAACCACCAGCACAACCACCAGCACAACCACCACCAGCACAACCACCACTTGCACGACCACAACGGGCGCAACCACGACCACGAGCACAACCAACCCCCCAGAACAACCACCAGCACAACCACCTTCAGCATTTTCACCAGCACAACTACCAGCAGCACAATCACCAGCACATCCACCACCAGTACAACCACCACCAACACAACCACCACCAGCACAACCACCACCAGCACAACCACCAGCACAACCACCGGCAAAACCGCCACCCGCACAACCACCACCAGCACAACCACGAGCACGACCACCAACAGCACAACCACCACAGGCACAACCACCACCACCACAACCAGCCCAACCACCAGCACAACCAGCAACATGACAACCACCAGCACCACAACCAGCACAACCACAACCACCACCACAACCACCAACACATCCACCAGCACAACCATCATCAGCACAACCACCAGCAGCACAATCACCAGCACAGCCAGCACCAGCACAACCACAACCAGCACAGCCACCAGCAGCACAACCACCAGCCCAACCACAACCAGCCCAACCACAACCAACTCAACCACCGCCAGCACAACCACCAACAGCACAACCACCAACAACACATCCACCAACGCAACCACCAACACGACCACCAGCACAATCACCAACACAACCGCCAGCACAACCACCGCGAGCACCACAACAAGCCCAAGATCTAGTATAACCACCACCAGCACAACTACCAGCACAACAACAACCACCACCAGCACGACCACCACGAGCACAACCACCAGCACAACCACCAGGAGGAAGATCTCGAGAAGGAAACATGGGGAGTGATGTAAGAAACTGGGCCAGTGTGCTGTAGTTCGGTATTGAGAAGTGAGAACGTTTGAGACCCAGCTTTGCGGAAAGGGAATAGTTTAGCAAAATAGTGGGGCGCACGTGTATCGCTCAACGCATGTGTCCCCAGCCCCTAATCACATCGACTTCGTGCCAGACCATGGACAACTTTCGTTCGATGTTCAATTTCCCATGTGTCAGAACGTTGTTGCCGAACACGTCGGGTTTGCATAGGGCCGTTGGCCCCAGCTGCGATTACCATTTGAAGGTGTTGTTCTTGGAAGCGTGTCTTGGGCTGCTCGCACGGATTGTCTGACAATCACGGCGCCTTCAGAACACCTTTTTTTTTCCGGAGTTCCTCCTCCCCCTGCAACTCTTGTTCCGCATGAGCCATCCTCATCGTCATGATCGTGATCATGATCAGCATAATCAGCATCATCACCATCGTCATTTTCTCATCGTCCTAATCGCACCAGCATCACCAGCATCATCATCACCGTTACTATTACCATCATCACCCCAATCATCAGCATCATCATCAGCATGAGCATCATCATCACCATCAGCATCGCCATCAGCAGCGTCATCATCATCAGCAGCCTCATCACCATGATCATCAGCATCCTCGGTGTCATCATCCTCGTCTTCATCCTCCTCCTCACCACCATCATCACATTCAGCAGAAACTGTGCGCTCCTGAGGATAATCCCCTGGGGATAATAAAGATCCGAAGGTCTGGCGGGGATAATCAACGATGTCCCGGGCGAGTGTGATGTTATGAGGATGATGACGACGGCGACGATGACGATGACGATGATCCTGGGTGCTCGCGTTGACTGACGCTGTAGATCTTGGCACAAGACTGACTCGAGAGATCTCGAGGCTCGTGGCTACAACTTGCCTTCGCAAGAGAGGTCATTGGCGCTCCTGGCCAAGAAACCTCTCTTGCGCACGACCTCAAACCACTCGCCCATGCAGGCTCGGCACCCTTTAGAGCCGTCCTTGCACGGGAAGCACTTGGTGTAGGCGTGGGCGGCAGCGCTTGCCTCCTCGAAGGTGGCGTGTTTCGGCTCGACCGCCGTGGGGTCCTTGAAGGGCTTGGGCTTGGACTTGGCCTTGCTCCTAGCCTTGGCCTTGGGAGTCGTTGGCTTCCTTGAGCTTGTTGATCCACTCGTTGTTTCGGGCGCACATCGTGCTGATTGCCATGCTCAGCGTTCTTGATGCTGTTGCTAGTCAACATGAGAGATAACAATTTCGATTCGCAACTTCCTCTGGGGATGGTCAAGTTCGGTCTCCGCGCCATCTCCCCAATTAAATAATACTGACACGGGGAAAAATGCTAGAGGGGGTGATTGGGGGGATGATTTATTATCGGGGGCACTCGGCATCATCATCACATGCTCTGGCCCTCCCAGAATGCAAAGGAATTCCATGTACGAACCTCTCCGCAGAGTCGGGGAAGATGAGCTTCAGCCCCAGCCCCGAGGTCCACAGTGGTCTCTGGAGGTCTCCAGGGGCCCCCGAAGGCCCCCGGAGGCTTCCGGAGGTCCCATGGGGGCCTCCAGGAGGCCTCTTGAGGCCCGCGAGCATACGACAACCACCCAAAACCTCGATTATCAATCCTCGCACCTCGATTATCAGCCCTTCCCTCCAGAAACCTCGATCCTCGACGCTCGGTCCCTCCCCCCCCACCCAAGAGTACCGAAGGCACTCCAGCAGGAGGTGGCGATATCCGAATCCGATCCCCACCAACAATGGATTCTCCGGAGTCGATGGGAGGCGGGGGCAGGGTTTAGATTTCGCCACGTGTTCGACGAACTCCGTACCCTGCCCCCGCCGCCCAGTGAGTTGACTGAATCGTTGATTGGCAAGGGTAGGGTCTGGATTTCGCCGCCGAAGAAGTCTCATCATCCACCCCGCCTCCCTCCAATCCTACGGGCGGGAACGTTTGCACCGCGTGTCGCCACGGCGGCCGTGCCACGGCGGCCGTGCCACGGCGGCCCTGGCGACACGCCGTGCCTTGCAAGCGGACCGCGTGTCGCTCCGCTTCGCGGGGCGAGAGGCTCGGAAAAGGCCCGGGACCTTGCAGCCTGGGGACGGGGAGGTGGACAACGGGCTGCGCCGAAGCATGGCAGGCCAGAGCCGGAGGAGAGGCCGTACAGCCCGACAGCGGCCAGCAACGACTCCCAGCCGCGAGCCTCGATCCCCGCCCGGCCGCGCCTGCCCCGCCGGCCCCCCGCTGGTCGCAGTCGTCCGCCACAGCCATGGTCGCGGTCGCCGTGGGCGCGCCACGGCACCGGGCGGGGTCCGGCACAGGCAGCAAGCCAGGGCCTGGGCCAGCGAGCTGCCTGGGCCAAGAAGCCACTGCAGTCAGTCTTCCCTCCCTCCTCCCTCCTCCTCCTCCTCTTCCTCCTCCTCATCCTCCCTCTCCTCCTCCTCCTCCTCCTCCTCCTCCTCCTCCTCCTCCTCCTCCTCCTCCTCCTCTTCCTCCTCCTAATCCTCCTCCTCGTCTACCTACTTTTCCTCCGCCATCCCCCTTGTAAAAGTTTCAAGGGTTCTCAAGGCTAACATTACAGAAATGGCGTTTTGGCACGATGTCGGATTGTCATGGCGCAACAGTTATGTTGCTTCATGTTCTGGCGCGACTCTGGATCATGAAAACGCAATATTCCTTATGATTCGCGGCGCTGAATTTCCAGTAATGCGGGGGGCGCGGCGGCGGAGTCGGCCGCGTTGCCCTCCATCTCGAGTCCTCGAGTCCTCCCAATACTCATCTTACTCCTGCTCCTCCTCCTCCACCTCCTCCTCCTCCTCCTCCTCCTCCTCATCTTCCTCCTCCTCCTCCTCCTCCTCCTCCTCCTCCTCCTCCATCCTGCTCCTGCTTCTCCTCCTGCTCCTCCTCCTCCTCCTCCTCCTCCTCCCTCCGCCTCATCATCATCATCATCATCATCATCATCATCATCATCATCATCATCAGCATCATCATCATCATCCTCATCATCATCATCATCATCAGCATCAGCATCATCATCATCATCAGCATCAGCATCATCATCATCATCATCATCATCATCATCATCATCATCATCATCATCATATCATCAGCATCATCATCATCATCAGCATCATCATCATCATCATTATCATCATCAACATCATCAGCAGCATTATCATCATCAACATCATCATCAGCATCATCATCATCAGCATCATCATCAGCATCAACATCAGCAACAGCATCAGCATCAACATCATCATCAGCATCAGCATCATATTACTCGGTATCATAATCATCATACTCATAATCATCATCATCGGCATCATCAGCATAATCAGCATCACCATCACCATCACCATCACCATCACCATCATCATAATCATCATCAGCATAATCAGCATCACCATCACCATCACCATCACCATCACCATCATCATAATCATCATCATCACCATCATCATCCTCACCATCACCATCATCATCATCATCATCATCATCATCATCATCAACATCATCACCATCACCATCACCATCGCCATCACCATCACCATCACCATCACCATCACCATCCTCCTTCTCCTCATATTCCCTCGCCTCTTCCTCCCCCTCTCCCCCTCTCCTCCCCTTCCTGCTTGCTCGCCCCCTGTCTGCGATGCACCGGAGACGAGGCCCTGTCTGGAGCGCCCCACGAGAAGGCGGAGAGACGATGAGCACCAAGAACGCCTGGACTCTGGACCCTGGCCATCGCACGGGTCCTGCAGCCTGGTCAGCTCGCCGCGCGCCGCCTGCAGCTCCTCGCCCGGCGGTCAGGCCCCCGCATCCTCCTCCTCCTCAATATTCCTCCCTCCTCGGCCCTCCTCATCCTCCTCGATCCGCGAACTTCGACTCGTCGCTCCCCAATCCAGCATTCTCGATTCTCGATCCCTCCCTCCCTCCACCCCGCGCCCTCAGATCCTCGGCCATTGGTTCCCGACCCATCGTCGGTCCTCGACCCTCGACCTCCCAACCTCGATCCCCTATCGATCCTCAATCCTCGACCTGCCCGCCTTGACCCCTCCCACCCGATCACCGACCCCTCCCCGATCCCCGAACATTCCTCGATCCTCGATCCCTCCGCGATGTTTGCTGCGGGGGGCGACTCAAATTCGGCATCGGCGGCCTGGTGGGCCCAGAAAAACGCTCAGCGGAGTCCAGCACAGTGCTGTAAAACTGTGCTGGATTATTTTCCATGACGTGATCCACAGGACGCCGAAAGAGCCACCACCGAGGGTCCCAAAATGGCCAGTGGGAGGCCCATCGAAGCTCCCACCCACAGCGCGAAACAAGAGGAGGATGAGAAGAGGAGCAGGAAGAAGGAGCGGAGAGGAAGGGCGCATGCATTCGTGATCCCGCCTCTGTGGCCGACCCGCCTGGCGACGCGAGACAGCGATCGACCGTCGCAGGCTTCCGCGATCCGTCGTCGTTCCTCCATCCTGCCTCGATCCTCGAAATCCCTCCTCGCCCCCGGGGCAGCTCCTCGCCCAGCCGCCCCAGCTCCAGCTCGCCCAGCTCGCGCTCGCGGGCGGCGTCGGCGCCGTGCACGGCCTCTGCGTTCCCCAACCCAACGGCGAGGATGACGTCGACGGCGACGGCGACGGCGTCGGCGTCGGCGCCAGCGAGGTCGGGAGAGGGAACGGCGGCAAGAGACGGGAACAGAGACGAGAGAGGAGGCAGGCAGGAGGGAGGAAGGGGACGGACCAGGAGGACACCACAAAAAAGAGGGCAATACACAAGATGCACACCACTAGGGCCGTGTTATCCGATTGCCCGCAGAGTGTGCCTTCTGAATCGCATAGCAATGGGCCCCGAATAGTTCACAAGGCGGATTGCAGTGAGTAGCTGGCTTCGGGAATAAGGTGCACATACTATACTCCATGCACCAGGGCCGCAGCGAAGGCCCCACACAGGGCCAGTCTGGCCCCTGCATCCACCGACGCATGAGCCGCAAGACGTAGCCGCAAGGAGCTGGAGTAGCTGCTTGTCAGTCTTCTCTCTTGCGATGTATAGACATGCGTGCTGCTACACATAGATCTGGCGCCCTGACGAAAACCACACGAAGCGGAACAACCCGCGATCAGCTGGGCATCCGCTCTAGGAAGGCGGGGGCTGGAAGCGTGAGCGGCGCGGCGAGGATGGCGTCGGGGAGCAGAGGAGGGATGATGATGATGATGATGATGATGATGCTGATGATGATGATGATGATGATGATGATGAGGAGGAGGAGGAGGACGAGGAGGAGGAAGAGGAGGAGCAGGAGGAGGAGGAGGAGGAGAAGGAGGAGAAGGAGGAAGGGAAGAGGAGCAGGAGGAGGAGGAACTAGAGGAGAAGGAAGAGGAGGAGGAAGAGGAGGAGCAGGAGGCGAAGGATGATGTAGGAAGGGAGGAGGAGGAGGAGCAAGAGGAGGAGAAGGAGGAGGAGGAGGAGGAACTAGAGGGGGAGGAGGAAGAGGAGGAGGAGGAGGAGGAGGGAGGAGTATGATGAAGAGGAGGAGGAAAGATACCGATACTGTCACTCCCAAGACCTCTCCAGGGGTACGTTCTGACCAAGATTTCGAGGCGAGACCCGCCGTGCCGACGAGAGCCTCCCAGGAGGCCCATCAAGACGAAAACGAAGCAAGGGTAGCGGCATAGGTACCTCTTCCTCCTCCGACACACGGCGCTGTTTGTCCCGCCGGGTCCACCCGCGAGGAGGTAAAGCAAATTGAAACAAATTGAAACCCTCCTCTGACACACGGCGCCATCTGCCCCGCCGGGTCCACCCGCGAAACGCGGAGTGGCGCGCGGCGCGCGGGATCCTCGGTCGCCGCGGGCCCGCCTCAGGCCTTCAGGTCCCTGCTGTCCCGGAGCGCCTGCAGGTCCTCTGCGCGGCCCGGGCTCCCGCCTGGCCTGGGACGCTTCCCGTCGGGTGTTGCTAGCAGTGCCCCTGGTCCTAGGTGCCCCCAGGACTCCCAAGGAGACCTCCACGATCCCCAGAGCACCCCTCACGAGGCCCAGGGTGCCCCAGGGGGAGAATGAAGCGACCGCTGCGGTACATTGGCCCAAGGGTACCTTCAACAACCCCTGATCCCCGTCGCTGCCGCACCGCAACCCTGGACGCTAGCCTCCCCCATTGAGGGCATTGCCTTGTCTTGCAATTTCGGTGGTGTTCCAAAACGTGTGCCTTCAGGAATGTTTCCTGCAGTGGGCTCACTGCTCCCCCACCCCCAGGTCTGAATTTCCCCCTCATCCTGCGGCCATGTCGCCCTCATGATGCGCTTCATCATATTCTCACTTGCACTATCCCCTGCTCTTTTTGCCCCTTTAATCCGCTCCCCACATCACCCTCATCCTACCCCCTGCCTCCATATCCCCCTGCCCCCACTCGTCCCAGGGCGACGGCTTCCTGCCCCACATCAGATACAACCCCCCTCTCCCAGACAATCTCCATCACCGGTTCAGGCTGCGTGCTTCCTTACCGCTGCGCGCCTGCATCTTCTCTGACCCCACCCCCCTATTGCACCTCCGAGCTTTCCTTTCTGGTTCTAGATCGCTCTTCCGCCCTCCTCCTCCCTTCTGTACGTCCTCCTCCTCCACCTCCCCATCCCCCTCCTCCTCCTCCTCTTCCTCCTCCTCCTCCTCCTCCTCCTCCTCCTCCTCCTCCTCCTCCCCTTCCTCCTCCTCCTCCCCCCTCCCTCCCTCCCTCCCTCCCTCCCTCCCTCCCTCCTCCTCCCCCTCCCCCTCCCCTTCCTCCTCCTCCCCTTCCTCCCCCTCCCCTTCCTCCTCCTCCTCCTCCTCCTCCTCCTCCTCCTCCTCCTCCTCCTCCTCCTCCTCCTCCTCCTCCTCCTGCGAGCGGCGAGGCGCGGTCGCGGCCGCGCTTGCGCCCGCTCTGTTGCCGACGAGCGGCGCGACGAACCGGTGGTGCTCCACGGCGATACACCTCCCGGCCGGACGTCAGGCCTAGCGGCTAGGCCCGGCCCCCGGCCGGATAGTCGCCCAGGTCCTCCAGCTCAGGCAGCGAGCTCGGCGGCCAGTGCCGCGCGGGCGCGCGGCCGCGCCGCCTCCGCCCCCAGCGCTGTGCGCAGCTGGCGCGCGGTGGCCGCCTGCAGGGCCACAGCCAGTTCCGCGCCCCAGCGGCGCGTGAGGGCGCCGGCCGCGGCAGCGGCGGCAGCGGGGTCGTCCCCTGCGAGCAGTTGCGCCCGGTCCCTCGCCAGCAGGCGCAAGTGGCGCAGGGCGGCTGGGCCGTGGCGCCCGCCCGTTTCGAGGGCGAGTGGCACCATCCGCCAGGGCGCTCGCCCGGCAGGGTACCGAGCGTGTTTGTCCGCCTCGGCGCCCTTGTTGACGGCGCCGTCCCGCGCCGCGGCAGACTGGAGCCCCTCGGCGTCGCCCGGCACGGCGTACCGCACGGTGACGTCCAGGAAGACTCGGGGGCAGTCAGCCCGCCGAATCCCCAGGTCGAGGATGGCTTCCTCGCGCCGGGCTGCGAGCGGGGCGCCGCAGGAGCAAGCCGCGCCCGCTGCCGGCCGGGTCGCCGCCGTGCCGCTCGCCGCGCAGCTGCTGCAGTGCCAGCGCCAGCGGTCCCAGGCGGGCACTGGCGTCTGGCGAGCCACCTGGTAGCCGCACTCGGCATGGATGTGCGCCCAAGCCGCTTCCAAGTCGCCGCTGCGTGCCGTGAGGCCCCCTCCGCGCGGGCACCGCCAGGCGTGGCGGCCCTTGGCGCAGAGCGGTTCGCCGCAGCACCGGCCAGCCCGCTCCCCTATGCGGGTGCAGTTTGAGCAGGTGGCGCCTGGCGGGGCCGCGTCCTGGCCTAGCAGGCAGCGCGTCGCTGAGCGGTAGGCGGCGTCTTCCAAGCGCTGGCGGGGCTCGCCTGGCGAGGCCGTCTGCCAGGCCGCGGAGTGCGGGCCGCCGCAGGAGCGAAGCAGCGCCCGGTCCTCATCCGAGTCCAGGGAGCCCAGCAAGGAGGTGAAAGTTTTTGTTGGTCAATCCTTGCAGTGAGTGTCCTCTGGAGCTTCTTCTGAGGCTCGGTGGCGAGCTCGGCCCAAGTGAGCAGCCTGTCAGGGCCGGCGCCCCAGCGAGGCGGCGGCGGCGGCAGCGCCGCGAGCCCGGCAAGGCTGCTCCGGCAAGCAGCGGCGAGCGGCAGCGGGCTCGTGTCCAGGTCGCCCAGGGAGGCCAGCCCCGTCCGCTCCCGCAAGGCGCCCAGGCTCTGCGCCCAGGAGGCCGCCCAGGCCGCCGGGGCCAGCTCCTCCTGGCTGCGAAGGCCGCGGCCGCCCAAGCGCAGCGGGAGCTGGCAGCGTTGCTTCTGTTGTGGCGTGAGCGGGTCCAGGTGCCCGAGCTCTTCGTAGGCGGCCAGGAGGGCAGCGTCGTAGGCCGCCGCCGCCGGGCGCGCCTGTTCGGGAGGCGTCGCGCGAAGCGTGTGCGTCAGTTTGCCAGTCCCGCAGTGCCGCAAGAGCAGGGCCGCCGTCTGCACCGCGGGCAGGTGCGGGGAGGCCAGCGAGGGCAGCTCGGCCACCTTCGAGAGCAGCCCGGCGGCTCGTGTCGCGGCGTCCTCGGCGCTCTCCGTGGCGTAGTCGGCTGCGCCCAGGTCTGCCCGGCGCCCCTCGTCCGGGCGCGGCAGCTCCCGCGGCTGTGGCTGCTCGGAGAGCGCGGCTCCAACCAGCGTTAGGCCTCTCTCTTGCCAGTGCGCCTCCAGGCCAGGCGGGCAAGGGGCGCGGGGTGACCAAGCCTGCGTTTTGCCTGGCTGCAGCTCCAGTCCGAGCGGGGCAAGCGCAGCCTGCGCCGCTGGCAGCACCTCCGCAGCGAGCTCTGGCGGCACGAGGACCACTAGGTCGTCCAGGTAGGCGAACACGTGAACTTCGCCCGGCGGAAGCCCGCGCGCCTCAGCCCGGCGGCGCAGGTCCTCCTCGAGCGCGCGCAAGTAGGGGCGCAGGCCGCAGGCAAAGAGGAGGGGCGCGAGCGGGTCCCCTTGGGGCCTCCTCCTCCTCCTCCTCCTCTTCCTCCTCCTCCTCCTCCTGCTCCTCCTCCTCCTCCTCCACCCCCTCCTCCCCCTCCTCATCCTCCTCAGCCCTCCTCCCCCCTCCGCCTCCTCCTCCTCCTCCTCCTCTTCCTCCTCCTCCTACTCCTCCTCCATCGCTCTCCTCCTCGCTCCTCCTCCTCCCTCTCCTCCTCCTCCTCCTCCTCCTCCTCCTCCTCCTCCTCCTTCCTCCTCCTTCCTCCTCCTGCTCATCTCCCCTCCTCCTTCATCTTCCTCGCCTCTCCTCCTCCTCCTCCCCTCCTCCTCCTCCTCATCGTCCTCATTACCTGTCTCATGACTGCTGCTCCGCCTGCTCCTCCTCGCTCTTCCCCTCCTCCTCTTCCTCCGCCTCCTGCTCCTCACCTCATCTCCTCCCTTCCTCCTCTCGCCTCCGCCTCCGTCCGCCTCCTCCTTCGCCTCCTCCTCCTCCTCCTCCTTCCTCCTCAGCATCCATCATCATCATCCTCCTCCTCCTCCTCCTCCTCTCCTCCTCCTCCCCTTCCTCGCTCCTCCTCCTCCTCCTCCTCCACATCCTTCACCTCCCCCCCTCCCCCCCTCCCTGCCTCCCTTCCCCATCCGATGTCATTCCTCATTCCTCCTCATTGCCCCTCATCCCTCCTCTCTCCGCCTCCGTCATCCTCGCTCCACCCTCCTCGCTAATCCCCTCTCCTCCTCCTCGCCCTCCTTGCTCATCCCTCCTCCTGTGGAATGGGGTGTGTTGACCATGTGGCCAAACACCCCTGGTTTCCCACGAAAGGCCATGGCTCGCCTTTGAAGGCAGCCAGGTTCCTGACAGCGTTCGAGCCCGCGCCCAGTGGTGATGCTGAGATCCCCCCACCCGCTCGGGCCGGACGAAAGGAGAGTTAGCAGTTGGGATACAAGCGAATCGGCTCATGCAGGCGCTCACGGCGACACCAAACCCCGAACACCGAACGAGCCGGCAGCGAAGACCCCAAGCTGGTCGAACCGACCGACCGAATGCAGCCCGAAAGGAAACAACGACGCCAACGGCCGATCCGAACCGAACCGACCGAGCGCCGCCGACAGCGACGCAGCTGATTTTCCTGGCGCCAATGTACCGAGGAGAGCGGCCGGCGGCGGGGCGCTCCCGTGGCGAGCCCCTCGCCCTCGAGAGGCCCCCCTTTGTCCGCCTGCCTGACCTCCCTGGAGCGGGGCTGAAGGAGATGTCTCTTCACACGGGGGGGGGAGGGGTCGGCTTTGGCGCGGGCTCGATCGGGCCGCCGCAGAGACCCGGGGGCATGAGTGACCGTTCGCTGGAGGGATCTTTGGAGTGGGCCTGCTGCGGTTCCCAAAAGGCTGCGGCTTGGGCGCTTGGGTTTCCCCCCCACACACACAAACACACACACACACACACACGCACCCCTGAAGTATCACACCAAAGGTCGTTGTTGCCTAGGGTCATTCTTGCGTGTAGCCAATGTGCGTTGGGGGCGAGAAAGCCGAGGCAGGAGGGGGGGACGGAGGCGAATCTGTCCAGACGGCCCTTCTGCTTCGCGAGGCGTGAGGGGAGGAGGAGGAGGAGCAGGAGGAGGAGGAGCAGGAGGAGAGTCACGACGACGACGACGAGAACGGGCGAGCCACAAATGTGGACCCTTTTTCTGGGTCGATCTGAAGCTACCCAGGCGGGCGAGACCATGGCCTCTATATATATATATATATATATAGATATATATATATATATATATATATATAGACCGCTGCGTACGGAACCCATGCACATGTGCTGCAAGACGTATTCAAAAAAATCGCGCGGTGTGGAGGAAGGGGGGGGAGGAGCCCTTGCAGTTGGTGGCGACGAATGACGACGACGAGCGCCTGGACGTTGACTGCGCGAGCCGTGGCGCAGCCAAAACCAGAGGCGGACAAATGGAGGGCGAGGCCGGGGCCCTCCTTAGAGTCCTCGGCGGCGGCCTCGCTGAAGTGATCGTGGATGTAGACGTCCTGGCAGCGAAGGCATGGCAACTCCCAGATCTCCGACGATGTGGCCGCGTCCGTGTTGTAGCGTTACTAGCTTGCGGCGGTCACACACCCGTGTTCGCGGGCATGTTGTGTGACCCCTTCCGAGAGCCCTCGGGGGGAACCCTCGGGAGCCAAGCGGAGCTGATGTGACCCCGTGTTGGCCCCGTGACCCGCTGGGGCCATGTGACCTTGTGCTGGTCATGACCGGCGCTCCAGTACAGAGCCCTCGTGACGCGAACAAAACGGACGGCGGCATGCATGTGTTTCAATCAGGGCATCTATTCCTCAGTTTGGGGCCTTCGGGGGCCGTGCTTCCGGCTTTGGGGGCCCTTCAAACATGGATCTGGGGCGATACGCTGTTCCGGGGAAGCGGTCGGGACTTCTTGGGGCGCCGATTGGAACATCACACCGGCGGGTGTCAGTGTTCGGTGCGTCTCCTCCCACACATTTCGGCGCAGTTGATGGATGGGTGAGGGGGAACATGATGAGCTAGACCCACTCGCGCCACATACGTCACCCTACCCAACCCACCCAACCCTGCCCATTGCGTTGAAACGTTTTCTATCCGCCAACTGGGATGTCCAAGAGGAACGTACCACCCACTTGGCAGCTGCAGGATTCGACCCGTCGTTTGCTGTACACTTAAGGAGGAGGACGGAGAATAAGGAGAGGCAGACGTTTTTCTCCAGCAACGCATCGCAGCCAAGCTCGGTTTATGAATCCCCTGGTCGTCCGTATGCGTCAGATCACAATGGACAGCGCGCCCGAACGACGCTGCGTCAGGAAAGCGGGATGGTCCATTTGCGTGGCTGCCAGCCGTCAGGCGGATCCGAAGAAAATGTGAGATTGGAACAGGAGGAAGGGAGAGGAGGAAGAGGAGGCCGAGGAGGAAGGGAGAGCAGCGTAGCCGCAAACATTTCGACTGTCCCACACGCCGAATGCTTTAAATAGTTGCCCCTGCCAGAAATAAATAAAGCACTGGCCACAGAAGGAGGCGCAGGAGGAGGGAGGATAAGCCGAGGGACGCGCGCGACCCCACTCAGCGCAGCCAGCGAAACAGTGCAGTGCCGACCGAAGGGAAGAAGCAAGAGGAGACAGAGAGAGAGAGAGAGTGAGACAGAAACGCGAAGAGAAGGGGGACAGGGCGCCGGAGAAACAATATCTAATGGACGCCAGGTCACAGCCAAGGGCTCCACTGGCGGGCCATCCACACTCGGACAGCACTAACAGTCCCAATCGGGAGCAAGGAACATTAATGACTGAGGGTATTGGTAGGACGATCATGGCGCACCGAAGCCAGTAGCGGCGTCCACCCCCGCGGAACGCGAACGCATCAGACGAACTCGCACGTCCTGCAGATGGCTGTCCTGGCAGGGGCGCAGAGAAGCTCTGGGTCACCGAACTTCGCGCATTGCGCCCAGCAGTGCGCGACGCGCGTTCATCTTTGCGCCCACGCGCCGCCAGCCCTCGAGAGGGGCGCCTTCGCGGCCTGGGCAAGGAGGCACGAAGCGAGATTACCTTGGCGCCCCTGTCCTTGAAGTGTGGGGCGGCTTTGATCGTTGCTTTTGCATTTAGAGGCTGTTTTGCTTATCGCCGCTCAGAATCGTGATGCTGCGCCCATGCTCCGATGAGTCCCATCAAACAGCTGAGCTGAGTGGGCAAGTGTCACCTCATCGCCGCGCATTCAAGGAATGTATGTAATGGCGTCTCTCTGGGAAGAGGAGCAGCTCAACCAGGCTCGTTTTCTTCTGTGTGGCGGAGACAAGAACCGGCATCGGTGTCTCTTGAGTGGGAAGCAGAGGAGAAGAGGCACGAGCACCCAAAGGGAACACTCTGCGAGCGATTCTTCGCGGCCAAGGGAAACAGCCACAAGCCAGCCCTCGGGCACACGCTGAAATTGATCGTGGAGGGTGCCCCCGAAACACGAAGCCAATGCCACCTGACTTGGCGACGGAGCACGCCAGTCTCGCATCGAAGACAGACCCGTCGCTAACTGAAGTGAACCCCACCTTCCCTCTCAGAAATCGTGGGGGGTAGGGTTGGGGCTCGCATGTGGCCCCCTACTAACCCACGCGCCTTCATCCAGTTCGGTGCTTTCTCGAGGTAGCCAACGCCGGGTCGCCGCCAATCGACGCGACGCGAACCTACCGTAGGCGATCGCCCAGGCCCCACGAAGAGCCAAAACGGGGACATCTGTCAATTCCTGGCCGAGCCCCGTTTCTGTTGTCTATGCCCTGCTTCCCCTGACCCACAGAGAGGGGCAGCCCCAAGGGCATGGATCGAGCGTCGATCGTCGAATATACTGCACCAGCTCGGGCCAAGCGGGCGGGCGGTCGGGCCAGCGCGCTCTAGGGGCTTGAGCCAGGGAGCTCGCGCCAAAATGGCGACGAGTTTTGTTGCCTCCTTGGAGGTTTCTGGGGGCCTCCCGGGCCCTTCCCTGGAACCTCTGGGGATGCATCCAGAGACCAGGACGACGACGAGCTCGGAGCAGAGGGAAGGGATGTGCTGAGTGTGCTGAGCAAATGCGCAGGACTGGGCCCACTCTCCTCGGAGCTGGGCAGCGCCTGTCTCTTGCCAGGCTGGTCGGGAGAAAAGCCTGAAGCACCCCTCTGCTGTGTAGAGTCTGAGCGACCTCGGGCACAGCGGATGGCGGCACAAGACCATGCAGCTCTGCACCTGCACAGGGGAGGGGAGGGCAGGGGAGGGCAGAGACGGGCAGGGGCAGAGGGCGAAGAGAGAGGGGGGGGGCAGGGAAGCGAGCAACGGCGGGGCAGAGACGGGGAGGGAGCGGGGGCGGCCAGGGGGTGGCAGCAAGGCGAGCGGCCGCGCGGGCGGAGACGCAAGACGACACAAGTGGGGGGAGGGGGCATTCACCGTGTGCTGCACCAAGCCAAACTCTGCAAGCAGGTTGAAACTTCGTGGCAAGAGAACTTGGTCCGAATCTCCACCCGAAAGCTTCTCCCCAGTGGCAAGTAATTACCCAACCAGGAAAAAATAAAAAATAAAATAAAAATAAAAAATAAATCGAAAATAAAAAAAAAAAAAAAAAAGAAAAAAAAATAAAAAAAAAAAAAAAATTCCGAATCTCCACCCGAAAGCTTCTCCCCAGTGGCAAGTATAAGCGACTGGGAGTCCGCTTCATCTGTGAGGGCCGGAGCCACCTGCGCCAAGTGGACACCTGGCCATCGCTCGGACGTCCATTCCCTGTATTTTTTTCGGTTTCGTGCGTGGGTTTTTTCTCCAAATGATCAAGGATGCTCCTCGATGGTCCTCGCCGAAGGAAACATGCACACGTCCGAGCGATGCCAAAACACGGGAGGAAGGGGAGACCTGCACCTGGGACTCGGGCGCATGGGCGCAAGGGCCGGGGAGGACGGCAGACAGAGCGGCTGCGCCGCACGCGGGGGGCGCCCTGCCTGGGGCGCCGCGCACGCGCGGACCCTCCTGGCCTCGACCGGGTCCGCTGGCCCTGACCAGCGGGCGCCTCGCGCTCTGCCCCTTGCCGTCTTGCCCGGCGCTCGCGCGAGGCGCCGCGCCGACTGGGCAGAGGCCCCCTCTCCCCTGGACAGGGGGGGCTTGGGGCACGCTCCTCTGCCTCGCCGACTGGACACGGGCCTCTCCTCCCCTGGACGGGGGGCTTGGGGCTCGAGCGACGCGCCTCGCCGACTGGGCAAGAGGCCCCTCCTCCCCTGGACGGGGGGGCCCCTCCTCCTCCTCCTCCTCCTCCTCCTCCACCTCCTCCTTCTCCGCCTCCTCCTCCTCCTCCTCCTCTCCTCCCCTCCTCCGCCTCTCCTCTCCTCCCTCCCTCCTCCTCTCCTCCTCCTCCTCCTCCTCTCCTCCTCCTCCTCCTCCTCCTCCTCCTCCTCCTCCGCCTCCTCCTCCTCCTCCTCTCCTCCTCCTCCTCCTCTTCCCTCTTCCTCTTCCTTTTCCGCTTCCTCTTCCTCCTTTCCTCTTCCTCTCCTCCTCCATCCATCCTCCCCTCCTCCCTCCTCTCCTCCTCCCCTCCTCCTCATCCTCTCCTCCTCCTCCCTCCTCCTCCTCCTCCTCCTCCTCCCACTCCTCCTCCTCCTCCTCTCCTCCTCCTCCCTCTCCTCCTCCTCCTCCTATCCTCCTCCTCCTCATCCTCCTCCTCCTTCCTCCCTCCTCCTCCTTCCTCCTCTCCCCTCCCCTCCTCCTCCTCCTCCTCCTCCTCCTCCCTCCTCCTCCATCCTCCTCCTCCCTCCTACCTCCTCCCTCCTCCCCTCCTCCTCCTCCCTCCTCCCTCCTCACTCCTCCCCTCCTCCTCCTCCCTCCCTTCCCGCCTCCCTCCTCCCTCCCCCTCCTCCCTCCTCTCTCTCCCTCCTCCCTCCCTCCTCCTCCCTGCCTCCTCTTCCCTCCTTCCATCCTGCTCCTGCCTCTGCCTCCTGCCGGTCCTGCCCCTCCTTCCTACAGCCTCCCTCCTCCTCCTCCCTCCGCCCTCCCCCCTCCTCCCTCTCCCTCCTCCTCCCTCCTCCTCCTCTCCTCCCTTCCTCCTCCCTCCTCCTCCTCCTCCTTCCTCCTCCTCCCTTCTCCTCCTCCTCCTCCTCCTCCTCCTCCTCCTCCTCCTCCTCCTCCTCCACGCCCCTCTGCCCAACGAGGGCCCGGGCCGCCACCCCCTGAGGAGCTGACGTTGCGTCGGCAACTGCAGCGCCACAGAAAATCACAACCGGAGAACCCTAAACCCCAGCCTACTGCTGCATATTACGAGCCGGATCGACCTGGGTTGGCCCCAGGGTATTAAGGCCCAGTAAGACGACCGGCGTGCTGACCCCCCCCCCCTTTGCGACAAGAGGTGCGTCGCGCATTCGTCGCCCATGCGCCGCCCGTGCGTCGGCCGCCGAAAAGGCCAGCCGTCCTCTCGAACGTGCAGGTCGCCCTCGCAAGGGGGCAATTTGGTGAGTGCGTCGCCAGCGCGGCGGGCACCCACGGGGCGGATCGCACGCGCGTCGCCCGCTACTGGGCGAAGATGTCATGCCCAGTATGAAAAACTGCAGCGCCCAGATCCGAGGAATCGCAGAATCGGGCCGCTGCCGTGACCTGCCCGCGGGGGTGGTCGCCAAGAGATCGGCCAAGGCGCCTGCGGAAGCGTATGCGGTCGGAACTTTTGCTCAGCGCGTCGCGGCGGCGGCAACGCCCACGCAGTTCGCTATGCCTTGCAACCGGATGGCGTATCGCTCCGCTCCGCGGGGCGGGAGGCTGGGAAAGGCTCGGGACGTGGATGCTTGAGGGCTGGGACGCGGATAGCGCGTCGCGCCGAAGCGCGGTGAGCCAGAGCTGGCGGAGCGACACGCTAAGCACGAGTGCTCGAGCGAATCTCTCTCGCCACCGCCCACGCGAGGAGGGGAGCCTCAGGATACGGGTCACGGCGAGCAGGGCGAAGGGGTGAGGTCACCGACCAAAAAACAGAGTATCCGAAGTATCATGGCCCCTCTCAAGCCCCAGTCGCCTCTTGGGGCGCTCCCGTTCCCAATAGGGCGCTCTTGGGGCTGTCGTGGAGCCCTCGTGGGCCTCTCTTGGGGCTGGTCCGAGGGCAGCTGGCGGTGGCCAGAGAGGGGAAGCTCGAGCACCAGAAGGGAGCAAACCGGCCCATCGTCGCACCTCTTGGCTTTTGGTGCGCCCCACGATCGATCTCTGCATCGTCGGAGAAGGGGGGCGGCGGGCGCGAGAGCGACGGTCGCACACCTCGGCGGCGCGCCCACGGGGGGGAAGGCAGAGGGGGCGGGCCTCGGCCTTCTCAGAGGGCGCGGTCTGAGGCCTCTGAGAAGCCGCCGAACCTGCTCCGAAGCCGCGCCGCCTCCCGACCCAGAGATCCCACGCATGGAAGGTTGCAGCGCGGGGCCCCCCCGCAGTCCCCCAGCCTTTCCCCAGGGCTGGCTCTGCTTCCCGAACTCCCGTGCCGTTGGGGAGGAGGAGGAGGAGGAGGAGGAGGAGGAGGAGGAGGAGGAGGAGGAGGAGGAGGAGGAGGAGGAGGAGGAGGGGGGAGTAGGAGGAGGAGGAGGAGGGGAGGAGGAGGAGGAGGAGGAGGAGGAGGAGGAGGAGGAGGAGGGGGAGGCGATGGCCACCAGAGGCCGAAAAGGCGACACACCGTCGCACCGCAGTGTTCAATACACGGTGGAGGTCTGCGGAGAAGGCCCGTCCCCTCTCCCGGCGAGAGGGGGCAGGATGGTCCGCAGAATGCGCCCCAAGAGAAAAAACAATGAACTGCCCTGGCAGTGCCACAGCCAGGGGAGGGGAGGATGGAGGGGAGGGAGGAGGAGGAGGAGGACGAGGAGGAGGAGGAGGAAGAGGAGGACCAGGACGAGGACGAGAAGGACGAGGAGAGGCAGGAGGAGGAGGAGGACGGCGAACGAATGGAATCTCTCGTGTGTGTGTCTGAGTTAGCTATACAAGCGGTGCACTAGGGCCCTTGCAACCAACGACTTCTGGACAAGCCCGCCCCAAAAGAACTGCGGGTTCCAGGGGCCCTGTCTACGCCGAGTTGGGTCACAGAGAGATGCGAGCGAGTGAGCGCTACCCGGCTCCCATTCGAGTGCTCTTAGCTGTGCTAAAACCTGAAATGAGGAGGCGACGGATGAGTAGACGGAGGAGGAGGAGGAGGAGGAGGAGGAGGAGGAGGAGGAGGAGAAGGAGAAGGAGGAGAGGAGGAAGAGGAGGAGGAGGAGGAGGAGAAGGAGGAGGAGGAGGAGGAGCAGGAGGAGGAGAAGAAAGACGAGAAGGAGTTCGAGAAGGAGGAGGAGGAGGAGAAGGAGGACCAGTGTAAACCCAAGAGTCATCAACGATGATGGGATTCACGCTCCCTCCAAGCTCCCTCTTCATAGGCCCCTACGAGGGTTCATTTCTATTGAGGGAACTACCTCGTGTGAAGACAACCGTTTGAGGACCCTGAAGCATGCCAACATATTACTCTCGGGACTCCAGCACCACGGATCAACCTGATTGTTGCGTCTTCACTATCCTGAATGATGACAGATCTCCATTCCTGGGACTTGAAATCCGCACATCAACATAACTGCTGCACGACTTGATTCCTGATTTTTGTTCCGAGACGCTATTTCCCGCACGTTGGCCATGGGAATCCGTGAAACTTTTGCAACAACGAATATGCGCGGCGCTAAGGCGAGAGCCACATGTTGAAACCCCCCCGCCCTCAATCCGCGAAACCCTTGCAACTGGTTAAGGCGAATGTGCGCAGCGCTTGGGCGAAAACCACAAGTTGAAAACCACCCGCCCTCAATCCGTGAAGCTCTGCAAGTGTTCAGAACGAGTGTGCGCGGCGCTAAGGCGAGAGCCACATTTGGGAAGCGACCCGCCCTCCATCTGCGAAGCTGTTGCCAATTTGTAAGCTTCAGGGTCATAAATGATGAAAGAGTCTCAAGCGAAACGCCCGGCCCGCCCTAAAAGCTGGCCTCGGGGTGCGACACGGAGAAATTATGCATAAGGAAAAACAATGAAGGAGGAGGACGACGAACAGGAGAAGAGAAGAGAAGAGAAAAGAAGAGAGGATAGGAGAGCAGAGGAGAGGAGAGAAGAGGAGAAGCAAGGAGAGGAGGGGAGGAGGACGACGACAACGGGGGGGAGGAGGACGAGGAGGCAGGGGAGGAACAGGGGGAGGAGGAGGAGGAGGTGGAGAAGGGGGAAGACGTCCCCCCCTCGGCGAGCCCTTGAACGTAGAAACTTCGCCCTGCCGTGGGGCGCCCGCTGCCTCGAGGCGCTGCGCCTGCACCGCGTCGTCGACGCCGGGCGCGGATCGCGCCTGGACGAAGGATCGCCCCCTCGACTCCTGGGGGGAGCTGGGCGGCTCGCCAAAACCTCCAACGGGAGAAGAAAGAGGAGGAGGAGGAGGAGGAGAAGGAGGAGGAGGAGGAAGAGGGACGAGGAGGTGGAGGGAGGGAGGGAGGAAGAGGACAAGCTAGGTGCGTTCGCGTCATATCTGGCGTCCTATCCCTCCATCCCAGGCCTTTAACATGGCGTAGATGTCCTCTCTGTTCGCACGATCGGATGTCGAGCAGGGCAATGATCCCGAGAGGGTGCGCGATGCATCGTAGAGCACGGCATAGCAGAGCGTAGAAGTGCACGGCAGAGCGCAGTATGTCATAGCATGGCGTGGCGTTGCGCCGTGAAGCATTGAATCGCAAAGCATTGCGGCGCTAGGTATGGCATCGCATAACGGCACATGATAGAACATAGTATAGCTGGGGTTGAAGATCACAGCGTAGCATGGCCTAGCATGGCGTGGCACTGCGTAATCAAGCACCGCGTGTCCTAGCATTGCAGCTGAGTGCATGGCATCGCACACCGGAACACCACATGGCATTGCACTGCATGGCGTGCCATGGCACTGGAAATAATAACGCTGGCGCTGCAGCGGGAACAAGATTCGGAACGAGCGGAAGCGCGGAAATGAGGCCAGCGATGCAGCAGGAGCGCGAGTCGGAACGAGCGGAAACGCGAAAATGAGGCCAACGTTGCAACGGGAGCACGATTCGGAACGAGCGGAAGCCCGAAAATGAGGCCAGCGCTTCAGCGCGAGCAAAACTTTTAAAACAATACTCCGACGGAAAGACCCGGCATGACAACATGTTTGGTTTGCCCTGAGCCCTTTTCCTCGTCGCCCTGGCAAACACCCTCCTCTCGCTCTCTGCTGCGCCCTCTCATCCTCCTCATCCGCCTCCTCCTCCTCCTTCTATTCATCCACCTCCTCCTCCTTCCATTTCTCCTCCTCCTCCTCCCTCCCCACCCCCCCGTCGTCATCGCCCTGACCTCACCACTCTCCCGTCCTCACCCCCCGCCTGCTTCTTCTCCGCGGGCCCCCCCACCCCACCCCACCTGGCCGGGGCAAGCAAATCGACGTTCCTCGGCGCCGTCGCCGACTCGGCCAGCGCGCGCGCGCGCTCGCCGACGGCTGGTTCGCGAAGCCTTCGAGGCAGCTCCGCGGGCCACGCCTTTAGCGCAACCCCGCGGGCCGCCGGGGCGCGGGGGCGGGCCGCCGGGACAACCCCGCGGGCCAAGCCGCCGGGGCAGCCCCGCGGGCTTCTAGCCGCGCGCCGCGGCACTCAAGCGGGAGGCAGCGCGAAGCCAAGTTCCGCGGCAAGCTGCTCGGCCTCATGTCTGGGGATTTTCGCTTTCTCCTCGAACTTCTCGAGCGCCCCCCGCACGGGCGCCGGCGGCCCGCGCCCCGGGAACTCGCGCGAGGGCGGCCGCGGGATCAGCACGTTCCGCACGCACGGGGCGCGGGGGAGCGCGACGCAGAGGCGCAGCCACCACTGCTCGTCCGACATGCCCGCGCAACCGGCGCCCTCGCCTCTCGCGCAGTCGACGGCGACGCCCTTGCGCAGCGCCTGGCCCTGCGACAGCGCGTCTGGCCCTGCGACAGCGCGGAGGCCAGGTAGGGCGCGCGCGCGCGCGCGCCAGGGTGAACCCCGAACGGCGCAGAGCGCGCCCCCGAGCTCTGCCACGTGAGCTCCTGCTCGCTGGGCCTGAACATGAGCAAGCTCCTCGCCCGCGCCCCGGCCTCGCCGTGTTCGACGGCGCCTTCGGCGCCCTGCAGCAGCAGCTCGGCGACCTCTTTGTAGATCGGGGACTCCTTGAAGACGTGGACTGGCAGCCAGATCCCCTGCGGTAGGTAGCGGGGGCGAAAGAGCTGGCCCGGCGCGCGCTCCTCGTAGTCCCGCTCGTCGGGCGGGTGAAACTCGAAGGACACAGCGGCGGCCCGTTGGTCCTGCACGAGCCAAAACTTTTTCTTCAATTCCTCCTGCGCGGCCGTGAACCGAACCACCATGCCGACGCGTGCCGGTAAGACACCATGGAGGTCCCCCGTTTTGTGCATGTTCGGGACGTTCAGGAGGCGTCGGCCCGCGTCTGGATCGCCTTGAATCGCACCGCGATCGTTTACGGCCTGCAAGAAAACGAAGGGGACGCCGAGGCGCTGTGCGTCGCGACGAGCGCGCGTGTTGATCCACCTCGCGAGCGTCCCCCAGTATACGCACATGCCGTAGCCGAGCCGAAAGTTGTCGTGCTGGTGCCGAAGGTTCAGGACGCCGCGGTTGTCCGAGGCCAACGTCGTCTCCCGGACCTCCGGTGGGAAGTGGAAAAAGGCGGGGAGGAGGGAGGGCAGCGAAAGAACCTCCGTTGACCTACCTCCTCCTCCTCCTCCTCCTCCTCCTCCTCCTCCTCCTCCTCCTCCTTCTACGAAGGCCTAGGGGCTGTACCCGCTCAGATTACCAACGTGATCTGCGGGCCCCATAGGGAGGGGGCTGCCACCTGAGACTTTCTCACAATTGATTCACAGACGAGGCTCCCGCTTGATACTTCCTCCAAATTCAAACCTGAGAAGCCCAAAAATTAGGACGGTTACAAGAATTGGATGGCCCTCGTGGAATACCAACATGAAATGCGGCACCCATAGGGAGGGGGCTCCCGCCTGAGAATTCCTCACAATTCACTCACAGACGACGCTCTCGCCCGATATTTCCTCCATATTCAAGCCTGAGGAACCCAAAAGTCACGACAGTTACAAAGCTTGAATGACCCGCGTCGGACTGCCAACATGATCAGCGGGGCCCATAGGGAGGGGGCTCCCGCTTGAAACCTCCTCGCAATTCACTCACAGACGAAGCTCCCGCCTGATACTTCCTCCATATTCAAGCCTGGGATTGGATGACCCGCGTCGGGCTACCAACATGATCCGGGGGGGCCCATGAAGAGGGGGGTCCCGCCTGAGACCTCCTCGCAATTCACTCACAGACGAGGCTTCCGCCCGATATTTCTTCCATATTCAAGCCTGAGGAGCCCAAAAATGACGACAGCTACAATACTTGGATGACCCGCATCGGATTGCCAACATGATTCGCGGGGCCCATAGGGAGGGGGCTCCCGCCTGAGACATCGTCGCAATTCACTCAAAGACGAAGCTCCCGCCTGATACTTCCTCAATATTCAAGCCTGAGGAGCCCAAACATCACGACGGCTACAAGAAATGACCCGCATCGGATTACCAGGATGATCCGCTGGTCCCATATGGACGGGGCTCCCGCCTTTTACTTCCTCGCAATTCACTCACAGACGAGACTCCTGCACGATACTTCCTCCGTAGCCAGGCCTGAAGTGCCCAAAAATGATGACAGTGAGTGAGTGAATGAGTGAATGAGTGAATGAGTGATGATGAGTGATGATGATGATGATGATGATGATGATGATGATGATGATGATGACGATGAGAAATGAGTGTGTCAGTGTGTGGTTGAATGAGTGTGAGTGTAATTGAGTGTGTGATTAATGAAGCGGATGGTGTTGATGATGAGTGAATGAAGGAGTGAATGAGGGTGAGTAGTGAGGAGGGAGAGAGGGGGGGTGAAGACTGCGCGGGGAGTCCAGAGAAAACAAGAACCCCACTTAGGATCTGGGGAAAAAGAGGAACCGAAAACGAAAACCCAACTCCAGGGAATCCTGTGTAAAAAACGGTACGCGGAGGGGGGCCGAACATCTTTCGGATGTCATCAGGGAAGAAAGGATAATCATATTCATATTGTGTAAGTGTGGAGGAGGAAGAGGAGGAGGAGCAGCAGCAGAAGGGGGTAGAACGAGGAGGGGATTAGCGAATCAGCTTCATAAGGCTGTCTTTTCTGGCGCCTCCCGGCGCTGGAGGCGCCAGTGCATCGAGGATAGCGCCTGGCGCAGCGGGGCCGAAAGTAGCTGCATGCAGCCGATTTCGCTCTAACCCCCACGTTCGTCCGACATGGTGTACAAACTCCTGCCTTGACTGGGGAGGCATCACCACCGATCCTGGGCCCAGGATCGACACGGCCAGGCTCGGCAAGGTGGGTAGTTGATGTCCCCGGTCACAAGTCCCCCCAACCAAGTCGACACCCATGCCAGGCAGGACTGTCATCCCCAGGAGGACGCCACTGCCAGCGATCGGCAACCTGGTGGGGAAACACTGCCGCCACAGCCTTGGGGACCACAGTTCCGGTAGTGCGTCTCCGCTGCACAGAGAAAGACCAGCTCGTAACCGATGGCGAGGCCGCCCCAGCTAAATCACAGTGATCTGCACGAGTTGGAGCCTCAGGGGACCTGGTAGCAGTCGTGGTGCCACATTCCAATGCACTTGCACGCGCCGCAACCAAATATCTGTCGTGAAGTCCCACCCCATTAACATCCGTAAAAGAGCAGCTGCACATCATATGATACTACACTACGACGCGCCTTGTGAAAACAGAATGGGATCGAGCGATGGCGTGTGTGACAGGTAGGTTCTGCACGCGCGGAATATGAGTCGTCCGTCTAGCACGATCGATTGAGCTGCCCCACAAAGCTGCCCCACAGCGAATCGAAACACGCGCACGCACACACACACACACACACACACAAACACACACACACACGCGCGCGCGTGCCCGAGTGAGCGTGCGGGCGCCTGCCTGTTCTTCCCTCTAGCATCAGTTGACCTCTCTTCTCAACCTCCTCACCTCCCCCCTCCTCATCCTCCTGACTGTCCTCAGCTCATCATCCTTATCATACACAACATCATCATCACCAGCACCATCATCATCATCAGCATTATCATTGTCATCATCGTCATCACCATCATCATTATTGTCATTATCATCATAGTCGTCATCATCAGCATCATCAGTATCATCCCGTCGACGTCATCATCACCACCATCTCAGTCATCAGCATTATCATCATCAACAACATCAGCATCATCACCATTATCATGATCATGATCATGATCATCATCATCATCATCATCAGCAGCAGCAGCAGCATCATCAACATCATTTTCAGCATAATCATCAGCAGCAGCATCATCACCACCAACGTCTTTCCGCAGAGGAGGGAATCCTGGAGCTCCGAGTCCAGCTTCACGTCGACCACCGCATTGCGCTGCGTCGCGCTACTGCGGGGAGCCTCGAGGGAGTGGATTGAGCTACTGTTAGGTTGGCAGGGATGCGCAAATGTATCCTGCTCCTAATCGTCCTCCTCCTCGTCCTCGTCCTCATCCCCATCCTCCTCGTCATTATCATGATCAGCACCATCATCATCTCCCCCCTTGGCGTGGCCATCGATGGGCCTCGCTGCAGGATCTGCTCAGAAGTGGCGAAATCCTCCTCTGGTCCCCACTACTCCGCCTCCACGATCGTCCGCCCCATATACTGCAGCACGCGCTATGGGGCTCGTGAGTTCTGGGAGTCATGAGCCGCAAAGGGGGTCGAGCCAAGTCAAGTATCCTCCGCCTCGTCCTCCTCATCCACCTTCGCATCCCTTGGTGGCAGATGATGGGAGCTTCTTGTACCGCAATCAAGCATGACGAAGCCTACTTTAGTCATGACTACTCCTGAGTCCCGGCTGGTCCTGTTCAGCGCCGACGACAATCTCATCGCGCTGGCATCGACACTCTACAATAAGTGGGCGGTCGCAGGTTCCCTGGCACCGGCGCGAACACAAATGTTGCTGAATGCGAGGATGTCTGCCTAGATTCTGCTAGATCTGATTCGGCCAGGCGGGATATTCTGACGACATGTGAGTCGTACCAGTCCAAGAGTCGTATTGGTCAGTCAAAACAGAAGTTGTCGAAACACAAATCAAATCAGATGGATTGATTTAGCCATGGCTAGTCTGGGCCAAACTACATGCGGATATCCTGGACAACAAGTCAGCAAACACGACTTCATCCGACTAAAGCGGAACTGGGCCAGACTGCTCCAGAAAAAAACATACTTCTGAAAGATGGGTAAGTTTAACTGGGCCAAGCTAAAACTGACTACATATGAACAGAGGTGAACAAGTATGGAAAAGCTAGACAAAAGCTGACTAGATCTGGCTAAGCCTGGTTAAGTTGGCCTGCGTCATCAGACTACAAGTAAGTGAAGCAAACTACTTCGGACGACTAAAACAGGAACAGAAGCGCTATTGGGTGCCTGCTCCCCCGACGAGGACGAAGGATTCGGCACGAAGGAAAAAAAGTCCTGGCGGAAACGGCTCCTGCACCCTGGGTAGTCCTCCGGACCCAGCTGTTTATCCTCAGGCGGTTTTGACGGCCCCCAGGAGGGGCCCCAGAGCCCGAGAACTGCGAAAGCCTCGAGGACCCCTCTCCTCCAGGACCCGCTGCGCGCAGGCCACCATCTCGCCGCGGTGCTCAGGCTCGGGAGGGCGGGGGGGCCAGCAGCACACCGGCATCCAGTGCCACGTACAGGGCAGCAAGCAGTGCCCGCTCGGCGCTCTCTGAAGCATACCGATCGCCCGCATCTTCGAGAGCGGCGAACGGCCCGGCAGGAGGACCAGGAGAACGAGCGCCTCCCCAAAGCACGACAGGCCTCCGTCGCCTGCAAACAGCCAGTCCTGCGCGGGATTCTTCACGTTTCACCACATGCGAGGAGTCAGGCCCTCTGCTGGTAAACTTCGCTGGGGTCGGCTGGTGCGCCTGGCTGCCTCTGCCGCTGGAGTCAAACGTCGCTGAGCGTGGACATTGATAGGTTCAGGCCCCAGCGATGGGTACAGAGAACACCACGAAGTGAGAGGCAATAAGGCTGCAAGACTGAGGCCCTGAACGCACGCATAGACCTACAACGCAGCAGGCTGCGAGAGCCTCAAAGGGGTTATGGCTTTTATAACAAACAACAAAACCAAACCACACATACATACATACGTACGTACGTACGTACATACATACATACATACATACATACATACACACGTAAATACATGCACACCTACAAACGTACGTATGTACAAACAAACATACATATGCATACACACATACGTATACACATACACGTACATATGCAAAGTCATACACATATACATATATATACATGTATACACATACACATGTACATATATACACATATACAAATATATATGCATACACACATGCACATATATGTACATAAGCATGTATGTTTATATGTATGTATATATACACATACATACATACACATACACATACACATTCACATACACATTCACATACACAAGTACATGTACATATACATACACATATACATGTGCATATACTCAAACTTATATGTGTACATATACAAATACATATACAAATACATATACATATACATATACATATACGTATACATATACAAATACATATACAAATACATATACATTTACCTACACATATACATATACATGTACATGCACATATACATATATGTGTGTGACGGGCCCGCGGGCACCCATCTATATCCCTACCCACCACCACCCGTGGGGTCCAGGAAGATCGGTCCTCCAGGCGGTGGATACTATATACATGCCCCTGCCTCGGTCAAGAAACACATCAGCGGCTCCTGTCGTCCATGGCCCTGGCTTCGCACAACAGTGGGGAGGAATCCCACCAGCCTTTTGGGGCGTGAGTGGCTTAGCGCGTTTCCTCTTCCACCCCACTTCTTCAGCCAACCAGGAAGTATGCCACCTCCACCCAACATCCCGGTCAACAAAAAACACAGTAGGAAATACATGTCGCCTCCAAACTTGAAGCATGCGCGGGCGCCCCGCAACCAATTTTCTGTGGTTTTGACAAAGACGGCGGGGGGGAGCGCATATCGCCTGCTGCACGCAAGCCAACCATCCCTGAACAAACCAATGCAACAATCCCGTGGGCGCCCCGCGACCACCTTGCATTGCCATCCTTGTCCAAACGAAATAATAAAACGCACAGCTTGCTTCCAATTCTGGAGCATGCGCAGGCGCCCCGCGACCATTTCGCACTAGCTCTCGATATGGACAGCGGGGGTGCCATGATACTGCTTGCGGCGCGCAGGCCAACAACCCTTGTACATTTACGATGCAAACTGCAAGTTGGTACCAAACCTGGAGTATGCGCGGGCGCCCCGCGACCATGTTGCATTTGTTTTTGACAGGGATACTTGGGTGCGACTTATGTGTTCTGAAGACGAGTGGGAATGAGCGAGACAGCATGCGCCGTGTGAACAGGAGGTGTCTTGACCCCTCCTCCCACCCCCTCCCCAGGACCTTAACGGGGCGAATAATAATTCACACCCGATTGGAACGTCCCTGGTGTTCTTAGGTCGTGGGCTAATGTTGGCCCCCTTGGGGAGGGAGCTATTGAGGACCGCCCTTTCTGTGACCGAACTCCTCCAAGGCCCCAAGGGGCGCCCAGAAGGCCCCAAAAGGCCCCGAAGAGATCCCCAAGAGCTCCCAAGAGACCCCCAAGAAACCCCCCGAGGCAACCAAGACGCTCCAAGAGGCCCACGGGGCCGCCAAAAGGGCCCCACGACGCCCCAAGATGCCCCCAAGAGTCTCTCAAGAGCCATACGAAGAGACTTCGAGGATAAACATCCAAGAAGCCTCTGGCCGGTCTGCTCACTCACCCTCCTCCTCCTCATCCTCCTCCTCGTCGTACTCCTCCTCCTCCTCCTCCTCCTGCTCCTCCTCCTCCTCCTTCCCCTCCTCTTTCTCCTTCCCCTTCTTCCTCCTCCTTAGCCTCCTCCTCCTCCTCCTCCTCCTCCTCCTCCTCCTCCTCCTCTTCCTCCTCCTCCTCAATTCCTCCCCCCCCCCCCACTCCTCCCACATCCCCCCTTTTCCACCCCTCCTCCTCCTCCTCTTCCTCCTCCTCCTCCTTCGATTCCTCGTCCATCCTCCACCTTTCGGGGTATGGCGGCTTCCCAAGCCCCTTACTACTGCCTGCTCGTCCGCAATCCCTGACCAAGGCAACTCGTCCGGGCATCGTTTCTGGATGGGTTGGTGGGGTTACTTTTGTGTCGGCCGCAAGCGAAGGCGCAGGCGGCGGGTCGGTAAGTCCGGGGCGCGGCCCTTGCTAATGTACAGCGAGCAGCAAACTAGAGCGCGGGGTCAAACCTAAGCTGCCTAAGCCGCCGAGCTGCGCTGCGGTGAGCTGGGGGCGCCACCATCACCGAAATGCATCAAATTGCCAGGCCAAACTGAATCAGGCTGGCGGGGACATGCAGGAATCGCAGGCCAGGATGCCGATGCGAGTAGCTTCCACACATCACTTGCCACGAAAGTGATGAATTAGCTGTGCCAGGGTAAGGAATCCAGGAACGGCTGACGGCCGACTGCACGTGCGTAGCAGGAGACCGAAACCAATCCAGCTGGTGGGGGTACTTTTTTGGTCGGCGGCCGCGCGACGACGGTCTGGCGGCGAGAGGCAATGTCCGGGGCGGGCGGCACAAAGCGAATTGCACAACGAGCGTGCAGTTGCACATGCACTGAACAAAATGCCCAGCATTCAGCAGCAGACGCACCTAGGCGCCGCCCAGCAAACCAAAGTGTACAAGCGGCCACGGATGCGAGTGCAACGGAGTGAGTCGCCCTTGCGGCGCCAACCTCCGAGCAGCCGACCCGGCTAGCAACGAAGCACGAGCCCGGGTAACAGGCTGCTGGCGGTGGGAAACAAGGGGCAAAAGGCGCGGAAGGCTGAACCACTCAGCGCGCAGCCCTCGAACTCCACCGCAGAGTTGGGGGGGCCGGCGGCACCCATCACAACGAGTCCGGCGCTTGCGGGGAAGGCCCGGGGATGGTGCGACGATGCGTAAAACGCGAGCTCTACCAGGCTGCAACACTCAAGGCGAGGCATTCAGGCACACAACCCTCAGTGTCGGTGGACACCAGCGACTGCCCGAGCACCAGTGCCGTCCTGCTGCGAAGGGGCCCACCGGTGCCAGCCGCAGACAACGCAGAGGGTCGGCCCGTGGGGGGGGAGACCGCCGAGCAGCCTGTCCGTCGGGTCAACCGCTCTGGCCTCTGCAGCCGCCGCAGGCGAACCCCTGAGGCACAGTGGGGGACACCCACCGGGCCACGCGGGAGGCGCCGTCCCTCACCGCGGCCAGCCTGCAGCAGCGCCGGGGCGTCCCTTGTCACCTGGTTGTCCGTTAGTGGGTGCAACCCTCAGAGTGCACCTTGCAGTGGAGAAGGGGGGTGCAGCTAACCGCCGCAAGATACAGGTAACTTGATAGCAGCTGCACGCCGAGAACATCTACACATGTGGGGGGTGCAGCTAACCGCCGCAGAAGACACTTACATCGAGGGGGGGTGGCAGGACCACGCCGATGCGGTCACTGGTGGGGTTACGCGAAGCGTCAAGAATATCCCCACTGACTCGACAACAAGGGAGCAGGGAGGGGAATACCACCACTACGTGATCTACAACTCCTAGCGACTATATAGAGACACATGCCATCCACGAACCAACTTGGCAGGCGGCATACACAAGCACTCGAATACACGGCAGCACTGATGCTGAACCCATCCCGCTCATAGACTGAAGGCGGCCAAAACGCCAGAGCCACCCATGCCGACTGCCTCGACGGGAAAGTGGAGAGTGCCGCCGCCGGCCTCCGCGGAGGGCCCGCTGTCGCCCGCGGCGGCCGGCTCCCAGGCGCGGCGGCGGTGCCAAGGCTTCTCCGCCGCCGCTACCGCGGGCGCGTGGGAGGCGTCCTGGGTAGCGCCTCCCTCCAGCATCCTCCTTCGCACGTCTCCTGCTTCAACCTCCACCCCTCCCCACGCTCCTCCCCCCTCCTCCTCCTCCTCTCCTCCTCCTCCTCCTCCCCCCCCCCCCTTTCCTCCTCCTATTCCTCCCCCTCCCCCTCCTCATCCCTCACCTCCTGCCCCTCATCCTTCCCCCCGTCTTCTCCCTCCTCCTCCTCCGCCATCCTTCCTCTCCTTGTCGCCATCCTTTCTCCTTGTCGATAACTCCTCCCTGCCGCACCCCCAGACGTGTCAGTAGGGAGGACTGAGCGTTTCGCCTGAAACTTCTTCCCGACTTGCGATAGTGAAGACTGCAAGCTGCAGCAGCTGCAGGGATGGAGGGCGGGACCTGCTCAAAATGCGGCTCTCGCCCGAGCGCCGCGCACATTCGCCATATAAAAGTTCGCAGCAGTTGCAAGTGTGGAGGGCGGGTCCTGCTCAAAATGCGATTCCCGCCAGAGCGCCGCGCAAATTCGTCTTGAATATTTGCAGCAGCCTCACGCATAGAGGCCGGGCCGTGTCCAAGCTGAGAGTCTCGCCTACACGCCGCGCGCATTCGTCTTAAAAGTGTGCAGCAGCTTCAAGTATGCAGGGCGGCTCCCGTTAAAAATGAGGTTCCCGCCGCAGCGCCGCGCTGCAATCGTTTAAAAGTTTGCAGCGATCTCAGGCAGAGGGCGGGTCGTTTGCAAAACGAAGCTCTCGCCGCAGCGCCGCGCTCAATCGTCTTACGAGGTCTGCAGCAGCTTCAAGGATAGGGGACAGTTCCGTTTCAACGTGGGGTTCTCAACTTAGCGCCGCGCACACCCGTCTCGAAAGTACGCGGCAGCTTCAAGGACTCGCAAGGTTGAAGTTCCAAGAATGGTGTTCCCGCGCGACTTAGGATTGCCAGGACGCGACAGCCATGTTAATTCGCGGCGTTCACGTTTCAGGAATTGCGTTCTGGCGCGATTGAGGATTCTCCTCAAGACGGGTCCGGGGCGGAAAAACTTGCCCTGGTGATCGGATCGGGAGTATCCTGGGGCCGCGCACTGAGAAGGTCGTGTCGCCAAATGTCTAGGACCAGTCCACATCGAATCGGGAATCCGGACGGAATCGCAGCGCGCGTCGGGTCGGGCTGCGTCGTCGCGGAGCGGAAATCGAATCGGAGCGGCTGCGCCGTGGTGCACAACAGCGTCACGCGAGCATCGGGCCGCATCGGATCGTCGGGATACCGGAGTCATGTCGAACCGGGCTGGCCGAAATCAACCTCGAATCAGATCGATCGGATCGAAGAGGGAACCTGCTCGGGAGGGGGGGGGCGACGAGGAGGAGTCTGTTGTTACCTCCGCTGCGGGAGGAATCCAAGACGGAGCGAAACAACGAGCCAGCAGACGACCTCACAGAGAGGGCCAGGAGCCCCCCCTCCAAGCGATGCAGATGAGCGTCACAAGAGCCGCCTCCGCCCCAAGGAGGCCAAGAGGCAGGGTTTAAGGTCGTGGCTGGCCCCTGTCTCCAACACTCTTACGCATTCGACGATGGACCATGATGAACCCCTTGCTACTCACCAGCACTGGGCGGTCTTCGGCGAATTTCTGGCGGCCTTCAACGGTCTTCGGTGGTGATCTGACGATCTTCGGCGATCTTTGTCGTTATTGCGGTCTTCGGAGGTTTCCTGACGATTTCGGCGCGAAAACTGGACGGGTGTCCATGATCGAACACCAGAGTTGTTGCTGTATAGCTCTGCTATGCACCAGGAGCTTTATCGTCACATGGGGGACGAGGGAGTGACGAGGCAATTCCTGGGAGGCTTTCGTGGGAAGGATGAAGGACAATCCTATCAAAACCGATGCTGGGTCGACGTTGTCCCTTTTAACTTGGACGTGCTGTCGTCGATGCCGCGAAATTCCTGTCATGAGCAAGACGCGGCGTACATCGCGCGAGCGAGGTATCGAAATGCCATCATTGCCTCGGCACCGCGGGGACGGTTCTTCAAAGTGGAGTTCACACTTGGAAGGGCGTGCGTTCCGCTCGCCGACTGGCCAGCAGCGCGGCCACGCTCGAGGGCCTCCAACGCCACCCACGAAGGAAGAACATATAACATAAAGATGAAAGATCGACGGTCCGCGCCGATTTGTTTGGAGCTGCGCTGGACTCCCCTTCCCGTCAGGGGTGCCCGGATCAGATCCAGGAAAGCCGCGCGGACCGTCGACGCTTTATGTTTATGCCGTTTTTCTTCGGCGAGCCCAGGTGGTTCTTGCAAGTTGCGTTGCTGCTCTGGCGCGGCGCCTGCTTCTTTGTTCCTCGCCCGTCCGCCAGCAGCGGGGGTCGCGCGCAAACAAGCGACCGAGCGGCGCCCACGCTTCGCCCGGGAAGTGACGTCCCCGCTAAGCAGGCGCGGCGCAACTATTCGTCGGAAGCGGGGCCGCCCCCGAGGGAACGATACGTCACTCTCGCCCAAGCGCTGCGCAGATTTCGCCTGAAGTTGCGCTCCCCTCTGGGCGCGGGGTATGCTGATGCTTGGCCTCCGCCAGTCTCGTCGGCAGCCTTGCCGCGCGCAACAAGGCTAAAGCGCGAAGTTTGCATCATCGCCGCGCAAGGATATCCTGAGACTCCCGGCACCCACTGCGCGGCTCATGGCTTCCCCTCGCCACGTGGTCGTGAGCGACGCCGCGCGCGCGCGAGCGCCTTCCGTTCGTTATGAAGGAACGCGCACCGTTCCCGCCCCCTCCGTGCCCAATTCCCGCGTGACGGCTCGCAGCGCTTCGTGCGTGCATGGCACCGTGCACTCCCAGCACCTGCTCGCCGACGCGCCCACGACATCTCACGGCCCGCATGTGGCCTGCCCCCCTGCGGCCCAATCCGCCTCCCCCGCGCCCCGGTGCGCCTCCTCCTCCGTGCCTTTTCCGTGCCCCCGGCGCGACGCGCCGCTGCTCGACCGCCGTCAGCACCCCGTGCTCCCGCTGGCCAGAGCAAATATACGGGAGGGAGGGCGGGAGTGGGCGGCCCGCTGACTCGCTCGGGCTGGCCAGCATGCCGCCCGCACCTGCTCCGGCTGCCCCTCTGGCCGCTCCCAGCCCGCTCTCCGGCTCGGGGGCTGCGGCGTTCAGGGAGGCGCCTTCGGCATCGCGGCACCGCCTCTTCTCGCCTCGCCTCGACAGACAGTGTATGCTCTTCCTCCCCCCACTCACCCCAACCCGCCCCTCTCATCCACGAATGCCTGCTCTAGTCTGATATGACTCTGCATTCAGCAGTTACTCAATACGAATACCTCAATATGAATACTACTCTCCCTCTCCCCTGAAGTTGTCCTGGGCATGGTCCCGCCCCCTCTGCAGATGGATTTATTTCCATACTCAGGGTTTCAGATGCTGATATGTCCTGTGTTTCGACTGTTTTCGACCGCGAACGGTTATTTATGAGGTTCCCGCTGTAGCGTGGGCCTCATTTTCGGATCGGCGGCTTGCTCCCGTCTTTCAGAATGACACTCTCGCTCCAGCGTGGGCCCATTTTCTAGATTCCACAGGCATAGCAGGTCCCATAGCTCTCGCAGGTCTCGCAGGGCCCCACACGTCCCACGGGTCCCACAGGTCCCACATAACCCACAGACGTCGCAGGTCGTCCCACAAGTCCCGCAGGTACCACAGGTCTGACAAGTTCCAGAATCCCCACAGGTCTCACTGGTCCCACAGGTCCGACAGGTCCCGCAGGTCCCACAGGTCCCACAGGTGCCGCAGGTCTCACAGGTCCCACAGAGTTCCCCTAGGTCTCACATGTCCCACATAATCCACAGGTGTCGCAAATCGTCCCCCAAGTCCCACAGGTCACGGAGGACCCACAATTCCCACAGGTCCCACAGGTGTCACAGGTCTCCACAAGCCAGAAAGGTCCCCTAGGTCGCACAGGTCCCCCAGGTCGCACAGGTCGCACAGGTCCCACATATCCACAGTTCCCGCCTGCCCCACAGTTCCCACAGGCCCCACGGGCCACAGAAGTCCCACACGTTCCACAGGCCCCAGAGATCGCACAAGATCGCACAAGTCCCAGAGTTTCCACCCGTCCCACGGGTCCCACAGGGCACCTTGGCTGCTATGAGAGTGCTTTGCTGGGGGCGTGGAGTTCCAGGTCGGCTAGGACACGCGTCCGCGGATGGAGAAAAGTCAGCGAAATCAGAAGGGATGCCAGGGAGCGGAAGGATGTCATATGTGGCGCGAGCGCACCCATCGGCGGAGGACAAGTCTCCCTTTAGCAGACCACCCTTTAGTGAAAAACGGCCTGGGACCGAAACCGACGGACCTGGACCCGCAGGCACGACGGCCGCGACGCCCCCTCGCGAGAACCGAAGACGGCCGGTTCGCTGATCGACGTGTCGGGGCAGGAGGCCTACCAGCCTCCGACACCCAGCTTGCCTCCCAGGCCCCGCCTGCTCCCCCCGCCCGCCGCCCCCCCCCCCGCGGGGCAACGTCAGGGGCGGGGCCGGCTCTGGGGAGGAGAGGAGGACGAGGGGAGGAGGAGGAGGAGGAGGAGGAGGAGGAGGAGGAGGAGGAGGAGGAGGAGAAGGAAGGAGGAGGAGGAGGAGGAGGAGGAGGAGGGAGGAGGGGGAGGAGGACGACTGGGGTAGGAGGATGAGGGCGAGGACGAGGGGGAGGAGGCATGGGCGGCACAGCGCCGACAAAGATCGGCGCCAGGCCCCCGACACAGCGAAAATCCGCACGCCCCATGGGCGGGGGGTGGGCCAGCGGGCCCCCGTTGGCTATTGTTCTGCCGTTGGGAGAAGTGGGAGGGAGCTGGGTCCCCCTCCTCCTCCTCCTCCTCCTCCTCCTCCTCCTCCTCCTCCTCCTCCTCCTCTCCTCCTCCCTCCTCCTCCTCCTCCTCCTCCTCCCCCTTGCCCCCAGGTGGCAGTTTTTTCCTGAGGGGACGAATGGCAGGCCCCCATTGGCGAGAAATGGGCGATGGGGGGTCGATGCATCCCCGCCTGAGCCTGTCCAGCCCCCCTTTCTGCTTCCCCCGATCGCCTCCCCACGCCTCTGCCCCAAAAGGGCGAGAGACAGGCCCGTCCTGCGACGCCGCCGCCGAGCTGGCGTACCACACGTTGCCGTCACCAGCCCCCTTGGAGGACGCGATGTACTTGTCCATGAAGTCTGCGGAGTCGGCAACGCCTGGGTCGCGACGGAGGCCCCTGGAGTCCACGGGATCGAAAATCCATTGGGCCCGAGCGTGCCTGGAGCTTCTTTAGACCTCGTTCAATCCACATCTGATGGCAATCGAAGTCGATCGTAGCATCGGTTCCAGTTCTGACGAAAAGAGGGCTCAGAAGAAGCCACCCATCCCGGCCCCGACAGAGGGAGGAGGCGAGAGAGCGGCAACATGAAGCGGGGATGGGGGCAAGACAGGACGAGAGGGGGGAGAGGAGGGCAGGAGGGGGCGGGGGGGAGCTCAGGCATACGGCGGCGGGAGGGCAACGGAGAGGAGGATATACCTAGAAATCGCAGGGAGGGACAGGGGAGAGAGAGGAGATGGCAACTGGGGCAGGGAAGGGGGGGGCAAGAGAGGAGGCGGAGGAGAGGAGAAGGGAGAAAGCGAGGAGCACGGGAAACAAGTCTTGTTAGCAGGGGGAAGAGGGAGGAGCGGGGGGAGGAGGGGCCAGCAGGGCGGCGGCGATCTCTGGAGTCATACTATGATCGTTTTGCCAGCTACCGGAAGCGGCTGCCAAGCCTGCCCCTCTGCAGTGGTCGGCAGCCAGAGGGCGCGATCGCGCTGCCACCGCGGAACCGAGCGACGTCCAGCTCGCGAGGCCTCTCACGACTCGCGTCCTGGAGGACCGCCAAATCATCTGAGCAAGGATGAGGAACTGCATCCGACAGCAGATGCAAAAGCTCATGCATCAGTCAAGTGGCATGCAGGCTTGGCCTAACCAAGGTAACGTGAACCAGGCGCAGCCCAGCGAACCCCTCGGCCGTGCTGACCCGAATCACGCTCGCGCTGGCCGCGCGGCGAGCCGCCACGCAACGGATCTAGAGGGAAGAGAACTATGCACATGCACCGATTCTGGCCAGGCCCATCCTGAGCCCAGGATCGGTGCATACGCCCTCCTACCTTGGCCAGGAAGGCATATGCACCGATCCTGGGTCAAGGGTGGGCCTTGCCAGGATCAGTGCATGTGCATAGTTCTCTTCGCCCGAGGATCGCAGCAGTCTCTGGGCAGAGCAGGGCGAGGGTGGAGGAGCGGGAGGAGCCCGGGGGGCCGAGGACGAATTCGGGGGGGGGGGTCGAGCCGCCGAGGGGGGGCGCGGGGGGCGCCTGAGCCGCTGACGACGCCCTCGCCTGACAGGTCGGCATCGGGGGGCCGCCGCAGTGCTGCCGCTCGCGCCCACACGCCTCCGCCTCCGCCTCGTTCCCGCCCTCGACCCTCCTCCCCCCAGTCGGCGGCTCAAGAGTGGGGCCCCGAGCATGGAGCCTGGAGGACGAGAGGCCTCAATATGTGAAGGTCCAGCCCCATCCCTCAGGGCCCCATCTGTGGAACGCCGGTCCAAGACCGAACACGGCGACGGCACAACCGAGAGCCACCCAGGCCGGTAGCGCCGCCGAGACCGACCGAACCTGGCTCTGCCCGACGCGGCCGAGAAGGAGGCAACGGCCTGGCAACGACGCAACAACCGACCGAACCGAACCGAGACCGAACCGCGGACACCCTTGTACTCCCCTCATCCTTCTCCACATTCGCTTCTCGCTCCTCATGCATTCTTACCCTTCCTCCTCCTCCTCCTCCTCCTCCTCCTCCTCCTCCTCCTTTGACCGATGCAGACCGCCGACGATTGAACGTGACGAAAGGCATCGCGGCACAGGCGCTGAGTCCAAAATCGAAAGCCCGCGCCGAAGCAGACTCCGTTATGGACGAGCCGGGCAACGATGGCGTTCACTTTGCGCCAGCTCCCACCTCTCCAGGTGTCGAGCGGCGCAGCAGAGCCGAGCGCCGCTGCCTCCGCAGCTGCGGCTCCCGGGACCGGCCCTCTGGGTGGCAGTCCCAGTGTGGTGACCGGCCCTGCGGGTGGCATCCCCGCGGCTCCCGGGACCAGCCCTACGGGTGGCAGTCCCGGTGGTGCTGCTGGAACCGGGCCTGCGGGCGGCAGTTCCGGTCCGGGCGCGGATTCCGTCCCCCGGCTGCAGGTGCGGGCTTCGTCCCCCTGCGAGCACTTGCGTTTCCTGCGGCGTCTGCTTCGATTGACGACAAGCGAACCGTCATTATGACGAACATGAACTTGAAGACTGAGACGGCAACTAAAAAGGACATTCAGAATGTGCATCCTTGAAGTACGGCCGAAACGAAAATTGCAATCTCGGAAGCCGTCGATCCCGTCAAAAACGAGATGGCCAAATTGTATGGTCGTCTTACATAAATTGAATCACGTTATTCTATCTTCAAGAGGTTTGAGCAAGCAGCAGATTTAGATGATTAATCCGGTCGAGCCTGCCAATCGTCAGGTGGCATGTTCGGGGTTTTCTGCATCCGTTTCTCTTCAAGAACGCGTTCGTGAGATCGAGACGTACATCTTGAAATTCGACAGTGTCCCTTAATAGTCCGTTGGTTATTTTACGCAAGGGCCACGGAACGCCCAGACGGCTTCGAAGACTTCTTACATCGAGTTCCTGACGGAGAGCAATCGGAAACATGTGTTGGATGACTTGCAGAATAGTAGTCGTACAAGAACATTTGGCTATGTTCGGCTCCGGTGAGCCAAGACCCACTTTAACAAGCGTCGAGACTGGGCCCTGTCGAGCACGAGAGCTTCTGAAAACAGCTGCGCCCGGAAAGGCTGTCGAGGCCAATTTTAAGAATCGATGTGTGCAGATCGACGGATCGAAAGCGTTCGAGCAGTCGAATACCGATTTTGAGGGAGTGTTTTTGCCTCCCGTTCTAAAAATTGCCTTGAAGTAAGGGTGTTTGGGGGCTGCTTACTTCTTTCACGATTCTCTCTCCTCTACCAACGCCCTCCGCTTAGCCGATAGTGAGCGGCTCCCGGGTTCTGTTATATCTTCTCGTCTTCGCCGTCGTGATCCAAGACCCGCGGCTTCTATCGCTAGGCGTTCGAATCGCTTGCATAATGCCTTTTCTCGCACCGACTTGCCGAGAGCGGTTCCGAGCTCCTCCGCATCGAATTCGCCTCTTGCGTTTGGTTCCGTATCCTCCTCCCTTTGTCCTCCCTACTTCCGTTCCTCTCGCTCACGTCGGTGAACTTTTTAATCGGAATTCAGAGCCATCTTCACGGAATTTGCCTTGAGACAGGGATCTGCGCGAATCCGGATCCTTTCCGTCTCTTGATTCACAAAATCTCACCATACTTCTTATAAATATGTGCAGTTTGTTTAATTCGTGAGGCGGAGCTGAAAGGTCGTCGTGTTGACGTTTCTTCCTGTCGCTCTTGTTTTGAACGAGACGAAATTGGACAACGCTTGTAGTATTCCATCGCTTTTGCATTACACAGTGTTGGAGCGCCGCGACCGAAATAGACATGGCGGCGGAGTTCTTGTGCTTGTGCTAGACAGGTGTTCCAGTCTCTTCTCTCCTCTTGCTCGGTCTCCCTCTGCTGAGGTAATCTGGATTTTATATCATTCGATGGTGGGCCCTATGCTGTTTGCTTGTTGGTATCGTCCACCACAGTACGGCGAAATGTCAAGTATCAATGCTTCCAATCTTAGTGGACAGCGCATTCGAATATTGCTGCTGGCACGGTCGT